TAATTCTTTTCATAACGTCTGATAAGCTTAATAACATTATCATTAAACGAAAAAAGAAAATCACAATATTGATCCATATTTTTTAACCCAATCTAAGCTTTTTGGCATACATAAGCCATTATCAGAGATAACAATTACTGTACAATATATTACGCAACACACAGACAAGAATGTGATAATAGTCTGTTTCTGTTTACATGGATGATCTCCAAGCAACGATAAATACGTGCATATAAGATGCTGGAAGCAAAAATCACACTGCAGCTCATGATGTCACACATGACCATGCGAGAGTGAATTCGAGAAGTATTAAGTATGGGAAGCCGTTGGTATAAACCAATGGCTTCTGTTACCAATTATAGACATTTAAGGATATTTGTGGAGATTTCATAGTTTATTTTGCGAAAAATTTGTGAAAAATGCTGCCTAAAAAAAATGCTGCCTAAATACACACAATATATATATAAATATATATATATATATATATATATGCTCTCACTTGCTGAGTGAGTATTATGGAGAAAGGGGATTTTTAACAGCTGCTGCTGCTTGATACATAGCTCTTCATAAGAATTGAGCACTTTGGTTGCTGGTCTGGCTTTTATATATATCACTTCTGTAATACATTAAAAAATTCCCTTTTTCTGTCCTGCACTAATAGCCTAGAGGTAAAAGACTCTGACTGATGCCAAATCAGTTGAGTTTCGATCACGGCTTGAAGCAATTGGATGTCTAGCCATACTGATGAACTGTCATACAATGAAACAGTCTGTCTGTAAATTATATATATATAATGTAAAAGACAAGGTACTGCAATCAAGATTTTATTTAATTTTTCTTGTCTTCATAAAAGTGTTTTCTTTTTAGGACACAAAGTGTGTAAAAAATGTAAAAGGTAAAAAATATTACCAGCAATACATTTTTGAAGGAAAATATTAACAATACATTTTTGGAAAAAAAAATTATATATATTACCAGCAATATATTTTTGGAAAAAAATATATTAGCAGCAGTACATTTTTTAAAAATTTATTACCAGCAATAAAAATCTTGTTGGCATTAAATAACCCACTGAGGTTGATATGCCGTAAAACAAACCATTTCAAACCAAACCAAAAAATGTAAAAATAAAAATTAAAGCAGCTAACCTTATCCTCAAAAATAACAACACACCTGCAAAATCAAAACTACAAACAACCAACATTATTTACAAGTTCAAATGCCCCCTTAAGGTACTTGTCTTATTCATAAATAATTATATCGGTCACACTACTACAAACCTATTCAGATGACTTACATTACATCTGTCTGACTTCAGCTCCATTAGAACTCATTTAAACAGACATGAAAATCTACTGGACTCCATCCAAAACATACTAGTAGAAAATACAAGCATAATAACCTCATCGACATGTAAAAAAGATTCAAAATAATGGAAGTGCCAATAATAAAAAAGAAAAAGCCAACATAAAGTAACTTAACTATAAACACAGCTACAATGTCCTGACGGTTTTTGGAAAATAAAACATCCCAAAACTCTAGATGCATACACACAACCCATACATTCAGTTAAAAATTAAAAATAAAATCATCCTTGATAATGGCTAAATGTATAACTGAAATAAAATCATCCTTGATAATGGCTAAATGTATAACTGAAAGCACTTGGAGATGCAGAACATTTGGACAGGTTTTATACACTTTACGTCCAGAAAAGAAAACACTTGTATGAACACAAAAGAACTTGAATAAAAAGCTTAATCACAGAACCTTGTCAGTTGTTTTTAACAAAACATGTATAAAAGAGGGATTGCTACCTAAATACACAGTTATATATATATATATATATATATATATATATATATATAGTGCACAAAAGAGACTAAGTTCAAATTGCTACTCAGAGTTTCTACACATAGTTTTTGCCTTACCAGTTGCACCCCTGATGATGACATGGAAAGTACTTTGGAAATAAAAGTGATTCTCACTGTTACAGTACATTTCTTGCCTTATTTAATTGTAATATATTGAAAAATATTCATGGACATGAAATGATTATGATAAAAATAAGCAGACATAATTTTTTGCAATTTATTTAATCAGACATATATATATATATATATATATATATATATATATATATATATATATATATATATATTAATAGAGATGTAATGTTTGTCACTTAGCTAAGTGAATGTTCAGTACCCAACTTCAGAGTTTATTAGATGAACCTTTTTTGGAATTGTTCAATTCACTCATTAGGAGGTATCAGGAAATATTTTTTTTGCCAATTTTCTCATTTTTATTTTATATTAAGTTAAAAAATAATTTATGTGGTTTTTATTGGTGCTATATTGATTTTTTTTCTTCTTTCTGTGTGTATGCATGTTTGCATGTATGTATGTATACACACCTCTATGTGTGTGTCCGTGTACGTGTGTGCATGTGCACATGTGTAGAATGTCATGGTTATTTCTCCTTTTCATCATTTTCTTATTTCCTTATACTCTCTTCCTCTTTCCTCTTTTGTCTCTGAATGCCAAAGATAATGTAACAATTTTATTTCCAGTATCACAGACATAAGTTTGTTAGGCTAATTTTTTATTCTTCAGTTTTCTTAAGTTTGTAAAAAAAAAAAGATGCCAGACACTGTGGTTCTTGAAAAAGGCCAATGCAATCAGCATTGAAGTGCATATTCATTGTTACAGTTGTTGCTGGGCATTCATTTTGACAACAGCGTAATGCCTAAGTAAATGCAAGATTGCAAGTTGCTTTATGACACTCAACCCTAATAAAAACAAGGAGCGACTTTAAGGACTATATAAAAGAGATCTTGCAGCCTGCCATATAGAAAATCCAGAGTGGAAAACTACTGCCTGTGATCAAAATAAGTGGAGGTGTACAATTCATGAAGCCACTAAGATCTTCCAAGAACATGTAATGAGTGTAACTAGGAAAGGGGAAATTATTGATCCTGCAACCCTGGCTTTGTACACTAAGTCTGTCACATATGCAATAAGCATCAGAATTTAATAGCTGGCTTCATGAGACATTGTCATTTTTACAAGAACGAAAAACATTCATAAAATTTGTCAGTGATGATCATACACATTTACTGAGTCAACAGTTATCACACACACATATATATATATAAATACTTTATTTTAGTATATTACATTGAAAACATGTCAAAATCGCTACACATTTGGAGTCATATTTCGATGTGCATACAATGCATCTCATCAGTAAATTACTAGCGAGTGAACAATTTAATCACTATGCATATCAAAGCATGATTGCAATTGTGTAGTGATTTTGACATGTTTTTGATGTAATGTCCTAAAATAAAGAATATTCCTCTACTTTGTATTGAGCCCCTCTTAAATTAAATATTACAAATGTTGGAATTGTACTCTATGCAATCTCATCTTACCTGGATGTCTAGCCACACTAATGAGCTGTAATACTGTGAAACAGTCTATATGTGGATGACAATATTAGCTCTCAATAAAATAATTTAATTAGTAGAACACTGCAGGGAGTAATGAATTTGTAAACAGTCATTATTACTGCTGATAATGCAAGACTCTCTTAGTGATTAAGTTCTCTGAGTGACTGATGAGTTTATGAAAAAATAAATATGCAAAAATTTGCCTTTCTCTCTGCCAGGTATTGATGGCCCAGGGGTTAGAATCTTTGACTGATACCAAATCAGCTGGGTTTCAGTCCCAGGTTGAATATATGATAAAAATATAGTTTTAAGGTATGCTATATTTATGGGTTAATGTGCTCAGTATCAGGGATAGAGTATATGTAAATGTAAAAAGTGGACATTGAGGCAGTGGTAACAGTCTGTTTCATGCTGAAATACAATCTTCAGGCCTGAAGCAAGAAACAGATTGTCACTACTCTGCTGAGTCTTGAACTACAGCGCTGTGTCTGGCATTTTGTTGTAGAGTGGTTTTCACAGTGGAGGCTTGTATTTCACTAAGTCGTCCTAAAAAGGGTCCGATGTACAAAACGTTAGGAACTTGCAATAATTAGTTAATGACGCAGCAATCTAGTTGTGATGGTTGATACTCCAATGTCCGACAGACTCACTCAACACCACTGAGCCAAACTGGTGACCGCTACTACTGCTACTACTTATTATGTGTGGGAGAGTCTATTAATAATAGAATAGGTACGTCAGGTATAACACATTTGGAATATCCAGTTGATACCAAAGACTGATCTTAAACAATATTGTGAAATCACTCTAGATTAATGATTCTTAACCATTTTCCTTGTTCGCACTCCTTTCAAACACCCAACCAGTTTTCGCCCATTCTTCTAGAATTAACGTAAAACAATATTGATAATATCATAGCAACATATAACCTAGAGTTATTTTTATTTTTTATTTTTTTATTTTTTATTTATAACTGGAAGTAGCGTCAAAACCTTGCACTATTGTAACACTCCTATGCCATAAAATCAGCACATTGAACTGAGACACTTGCCCCAAAATGACAAGCTAAGACCAGTTAAAGTCTGCCCTAAATTGCGCAGGATCTAGAGAAAATTTTGACCAGTGGCCTGAGCATCCATGTTTGAGTTCCCCACATTAAACTCTGACCTTGTGTAACGTCCCACCTCAGGAGAGGCTATAAGTGGATACCCACTTAAGAGAGGGGCAGCCAGGATGATTAGGCAGTATCCAGACCAATGACCAAGAGGAATTGCTAACAGCAGCCATCACCAGCAACCACAAGCAGTGATCATCAGCGACCAGCAGCAAACAGTGATGACCAGCAACCACCAGCAGTGATCATCAGCAATGATCACCAGCAATGACCAGCAACCACCAGCAGTGATCACCAGTGACGACCAGCAACCACCAACAGTGATCACCAGCAATGGCCAGCAACCACCAGCAGTGATCACAAGCAATGATCAGCAACCACCAGCAGTGATCACTAGTGAAGACCAGCAACCACTAGCAGTGATCAGCAGCAATGATCACCAGCAATGACCAGCAACCACCAGCAGTGATCACCAGCGATGGCCAGCAACCACCAGCAGTGATCACCAGTGACGACCAGCAACCACCAACAGTGATCACCAGCAATGACCAGCAACCACCAGCAGTGATCCCCAGAGATGGCCAGCAACCATCAACAGTGATCACCAGCAATAACCAGCAACCACCAGCAGTGATCACCAGCGATGGCCAGCAACCACCAGCAGTGATCACCAGCGATGACCAGCAACCACCTGCAGTGATCAACAGCAATGACCAGCAACCACCAGCAGTGATCACCAGCAATGATCTCCAGCAATGACCAGCAACCACCAGCAATGATTACCAGCGATGACCAGCAACCACCAGCAGTGATCACCAGCGATGACCAGCAACCACCAGCAGTGATCACCAGCAATGACCAGCAACCACCAGCAGTGATCACCAGAGATGGCCAGCAACCATCAACAGTGATCACCAGCAATGACCAGCAACCACCAGCAGTGATCACCAGCGATGGCCAGCAACCACCAGCAGTGATCACCAGCAATGATCACCAGCAATGATCAGCAGTGATCACCAGCGATGGCCAGCAACCACCAGCAGTGATCACTAGCAATGATCACCAGCAATGATCAGCAGTGATCACCAGCGATGGCCAGCAACCACCAGCAGTGATCACCAGCAATGACCAGCAACCACCAGCAGTGATCACCAGCAATGATCACCAGCAATGATCAGCAGTGATCAACAGCAATGACCAGCAACCACCAGCAGTGATCACCAGCAATGATCACCAGCAATGATCAGCAGTGATCACCAGCGATGGCCAGCAACCACCAGCAGTGATCACCAGCAATGACCAGCAACCACCAGCAGTGATCACCAGCAATGGCCAGCAGTGATCACCAGCAATGATCACCAGCAATGACTAGCCACCACCAGCAATGATTACCAGCGATGACCAGCAACCACCAGCATTGATCACCAGCGATGACCAGCAACCACCAGCAGTGATCACCAGCGATGGCCAGCAACCACCAGCAGTGATCATCAGCAATGACCAGCAACCACCAGCAGTGATCACCAGCAATGACCAGCAGTGATCACCAGCAATGATCACCAGCAATGACTAGCCACCACCAGCAATGATTACCAGCGATGACCAGCAACCACCAGCATTGATCACCAGCGATGACCAGCAAACACCAGCAGTGATCACCAGCGATGGCCAGCAACCACCAGCAGTGATCACCAGCAATGACCAGCAACCACCAGCAGTGATCACCAGCAATGACCAGCAGTGATCACCAGCAATGATCACCAGCAATGACTAGCCACCACCAGCAATGATTACCATCGATGACCAGCAACCACCAGCATTGATCACCAGCGATGACCAGCAAACACCAGCATTGATCACCAGCGATGGCCAGCAGTGATCACCAGCAATGATCACCAGCAATGACTAGCCACCACCAGCAATGATTACCAGCGATGACCAGCAACCACCAGCATTGATCACCAGCGATGACCAGCAAACACCAGCAGTGATCACCAGCGATGGCCAGCAACCACCAGCAGTGATCACCAGCAATGACCAGCAACCACCAGCAGTGATCACCAGCAATGGCCAGCAGTGATCACCAGCAATGATCACCAGCAATGACTAGCCACCACCAGCAATGATTACCAGCGATGACCATCAACCACCAGCATTGATCACCAGCGATGACCAGCAAACACCAGCATTGATCACCAGCGATGGCCAGCAACCACCAGCAGTGATCACCAGCAATGACCAGCAACCACCAGCAGTGATCACCAGCAATGACCAGCAGTGATCACCAGCAATGATCACCAGCAATGACTAGCCACCACCAGCAATGATTACCAGCGATGACCAGCAACCACCAGCATTGATCACCAGCGATGACCAGCAAACACCAGCATTGATCACCAGCGATGGCCAGCAGTGATCACCAGCAATGATCACCAGCAATGACTGAGCCACCACCAGCAATGATTACCAGCGATGACCAGCAACCACCAGCATTGATCACCAGCGATGACCAGCAAACACCAGCATTGATCACCAGCGATGGCCAGCAACCACCAGCAGTGATCACCAGCAATGACCAGCAACCACCAGCAGTGATCACCAGCAATGACCAGCAGTGATCACCAGCAATGATCACCAGCAATGACTAGCCACCACCAGCAATGATTACCAGCGATGACCAGCAACCACCAGCATTGATCACCAGCGATGACCAGCAAACACCAGCATTGATCACCAGCGATGGCCAGCAGTGATCACCAGCAATGATCATCACCAGCAATGACTAGCCACCACCAGCAATGATTACCAGCGATGACCAGCAACCACCAGCATTGATCACCAGCGATGACCAGCAAACACCAGCATTGATCACCAGCGATGGCCAGCAACCACCAGCAGTGATCACCAGCAATGACCAGCAACCACCAGCAGTGATCACCAGCAATGACCAGCAGTGATCACCAGCAATGATCACCAGCAATGACTAGCCACCACCAGCAATGATTACCAGCGATGACCAGCAACCACCAGCATTGATCACCAGCGATGACCAGCAAACACCAGCATTGATCACCAGCGATGGCCAGCAGTGATCACCAGCAATGATCACCAGCAATGACCAGCAACCACCAGCAGTGATCACCAGCAATGACCAGCAGTGATCACCAGCAATGATCACCAGCAATGACTAGCCACCACCAGCAATGATTACCAGCGATGACCAGCAACCACCAGCATTGATCACCAGCGATGACCAGCAAACACCAGCATTGATCACCAGCGATGGCCAGCAACCACCAGCAGTGATCACCAGCTATGACCAGCAACCACCAGCAGTGATCACCAGCAATGACCAGCAGTGATCACCAGCAATGATCACCAGCAATGACTAGCCACCACCAGCAATGATTACCAGCGATGACCAGCAACCACCAGCATTGATCACCAGCGATGACCAGCAAACACCAGCATTGATCACCAGCGATGGCCAGCAGTGATCACCAGCAATGATCACCAGCAATGACCAGCAACCACCAGCAGTGATCACCAGCAATGACCAGCAGTGATCACCAGCAATGATCACCAGCAATGACTAGCCACCACCAGCAATGATTACCAGCGATGACCAGCAACCACCAGCATTGATCACCAGCGATGACCAGCAAACACCAGCAGTGATCACCAGCGATGGCCAGCAACCACCAGCAGTGATCACCAGCAATGACCAGCAACCACCAGCAGTGATCACCAGCAATCACCAGCATGACCAGCAGTGATCACCAGCAATGATCACCAGCAATGACTAGCCACCACCAGCAATGATTACCAGCGATGACCAGCAACCACCAGCATTGATCACCAGCGATGACCAGCAAACACCAGCATTGATCACCAGCGATGGCCCAGCAGTGATCACCAGCAATGATCACCAGCAATGACTAGCCACCACCAGCAATGATTACCAGCGATGACCAGCAACCACCAGCATTGATCACCAGCGATGACCAGCAAACACCAGCATTGATCACCAGCGATGGCCAGCAACCACCAGCAGTGATCACCAGCAATGACCAGCAACCACCAGCAGTGATCACCAGCAATGACCAGCAGTGATCACCAGCAATGATCACCAGCAATGACTAGCCACCACCAGCAATGATTACCAGCGATGACCAGCAACCACCAGCATTGATCACCAGCGATGACCAGCAAACACCAGCATTGATCACCAGCGATGGCCAGCAGTGATCACCAGCAATGATCACCAGCAATGACTAGCCACCACCAGCAATGATTACCAGCGATGACCAGCAACCACCAGCATTGATCACCAGCGATGACCAGCAAACACCAGCATTGATCACCAGCGATGGCCAGCAACCACCAGCAGTGATCACCAGCAATGACCAGCAACCACCAGCAGTGATCACCAGCAATGACCAGCAGTGATCACCAGCAATGATCACCAGCAATGACTAGCCACCACCAGCAATGATTACCAGCGATGACCAGCAACCACCAGCATTGATCACCAGCGATGACCAGCAAACACCAGCAGTGATCACCAGCGATGGCCAGCAACCACCCGCAGTGATCACCAGCAATGACCAGCAACCACCAGCAGTGATCACCAGCAATGGCCAGCAGTGATCACCAGCAATGATCACCAGCAATGACTAGCCACCACCAGCAATGATTACCAGCGATGACCAGCAACCACCAGCATTGATCACCAGCGATGACCAGCAAACACCAGCATTGATCACCAGCGATGGCCAGCAACCACCAGCAGTGATCACCAGCAATGACCAGCAACCACCAGCAGTGATCACCAGCAATGACCAGCAGTGATCACCAGCAATGATCACCAGCAATGACTAGCCACCACCAGCAATGATTACCAGCGATGACCAGCAACCACCAGCATTGATCACCAGCGATGACCAGCAAACACCAGCATTGATCACCAGCGATGGCCAGCAGTGATCACCAGCAATGATCACCAGCAATGACTAGCCACCACCAGCAATGATTACCAGCGATGACCAGCAACCACCAGCATTGATCACCAGCGATGACCAGCAAACACCAGCATTGATCACCAGCGATGGCCAGCAACCACCAGCAGTGATCACCAGCAATGACCAGCAACCACCAGCAGTGATCACCAGCACGACCAGCAGTGATCACCAGCAATGATCACCAGCAATGACTAGCCACCACCAGCAATGATTACCAGCGATGACCAGCAACCACCAGCATTGATCACCAGCGATGACCAGCAAACACCAGCATTGATCACCAGCGATGGCCAGCAGTGATCACCAGCAATGATCACCAGCAATGACTAGCCACCACCAGCAATGATTACCAGCGATGACCAGCAACCACCAGCATTGATCACCAGCGATGACCAGCAAACACCAGCATTGATCACCAGCGATGGCCAGCAACCACCAGCAGTGATCACCAGCAATGACCAGCAACCACCAGCAGTGATCACCAGCAATGACCAGCAGTGATCACCAGCAATGATCACCAGCAATGACTAGCCACCACCAGCAATGATTACCAGCGATGACCAGCAACCACCAGCATTGATCACCAGCGATGACCAGCAAACACCAGCATTGATCACCAGCGATGGCCAGCAGTGATCACCAGCAATGATCACCAGCAATGACTAGCCACCACCAGCAATGATTACCAGCGATGACCAGCAACCACCAGCATTGATCACCAGCGATGACCAGCAAACACCAGCAGTGATCACCAGCGATGGCCAGCAACCACCAGCAGTGATCACCAGCAATGACCAGCAACCACCAGCAGTGATCACCAGCAATGACCAGCAGTGATCACCAGCAATGATCACCAGCAATGACTAGCCACCACCAGCAATGATTACCAGCGATGACCAGCAACCACCAGCATTGATCACCAGCGATGACCAGCAACCACCAGCAGTGATCACTAGCAATGGCCAGCAACCACCAGCAGTGATCACCAGCGATGGCCAGCAACCACCAGCAGTGATCAACAGCAATGACCAGCAACCACCAGCAGTGATCACCAGCAATGATCACCAGCAATGACCAGCAGTGATCACCAGCAATGATCACCAGCAATGACTAGCCACCACCAGCAATGACTAGCCACCACCAGCAATGATTACCAGCGATGACCAGCAACCACCAGCATTGATCACCAGCGATGACCAGCAACCACCAGCAGTGATCACTAGCAATGGCCAGCAACCACCAGCAGTGATCACCAGCGATGGCCAGCAACCACCAGCAGTGATCACCAGCGATGACCAGCAACCACCAACAGTGATCACCAGCAATGACCAGCAACCACCAGCAGTGATCACCAATCGATGGCCAGCAACCACCAGCAGTGATCACCAGCAATGACCAGCAACCACCAGCAGTGATCAACAGCAATGACCAGCAACCGCCAGCAATGATCACCAGCAATGACCAGCAGTGATCACCAGCAATGACTAGCCACCACCAGCAATGATTACCAGCGATGACCAGCAACCACCAGCATTGATCACCAGCAATGACCAGCAGTGATCACCAGCAATGATCACCAGCAATGACTAGCCACCACCAGCAATGATTACCAGCGATGACCAGCAACCACCAGCATTGATCACCAGCGATGACCAGCAACCACCAACAGTGATCACCAGCAATGACCAGCAACCACCAGCAGTGATCACCAATCGATGGCCAGCAACCACCAGCAGTGATCACCAGCAATGACCAGCAACCACCAGCAGTGATCAACAGCAATGACCAGCAACCACCAGCAGTGATCACCAGCAATGACCAGCAGTGATCACCAGCAATGATCACCAGCAATGACTAGCCACCACCAGCAATGATTACCAGCGATGACCAGCAACCACCAGCATTGATCACCAGCGATGACCAGCAACCACCAGCAGTGATCACTAGCAATGGCCAGCAACCAAGAGCAGTGATCACCAGCGATGGCCAGCAACCACCAGCAGTGATCACCAGCGATGGCCAGCAACCACCAGCAGTGATCACTAGCAATGGCCAGCAACCACCAGCAGTGATCACCAGCGATGGCCAGCAACCACCAGCAGTGATCACCAGCGATGACCAGCAACCACCAACAGTGATCACCAGCAATGACCAGCAACCACCAGCAGTGATCACCAGCGATGGCCAGCAACCACCAGCAGTGATCACCAGCGATGGCCAGCAACCACCAGCAGTGATCACTAGCAATGGCCAGCAACCACCAGCAGTGATCAACAGCAATGACCAGCAACCACCAGCAGTGATCACCAGCAATGACCAGCAGCAACCACCAGCAATGATCACCAGCAATGACCAGCCAGATCACCAGCAATGATTACCAGCAATGACCAGCCACCACCAGCAATGATTACCAGCGATGACCAGCAACCACCAGCATTGATCACCAGCGATGACCAGCAACCACCAGCAGTGATCACCAGCGATGGCCAGCAACCACCAGCAGTAATCACCAGCGATGGCCAGCAACCACCAGCAGTGATCACCAGCGATGGCCAGCAACCACCAGCAGTGATCACCAGCGATGACCAGCAACCACCAACAGTGATCACCAGCAATGACCAGCAACCACCAGCAGTGATCACCAATCGATGGCCAGCAACCACCAGCAGTGATCACCAGCAATGACCAGCAACCACCAGCAATGATCACCAGCAATGACCAGCAGTGATCACCAGCAATGATCACCAGCAATGACTAGCCACCACCAGCAATGATTACCAGCGATGACCAGCAACCACCAGCATTGATCACCAGCGATGACCAGCAACCACCAGCAGTGATCACTAGCAATGACCAGCAACCACCAGCAGTGATCACTAGCAATGGCCAGCAACCACCAGCAGTGATCACCAGCAATGACCAGCAACCACCAGCAGTGATCACCAATCGATGGCCAGCAACCACCAGCAGTGATCACTAGCAATGACCAGCAACCACCAGCAGTGATCACCAATCGATGGCCAGCAACCACCAGCAGTGATCACCAGCAATGACCAGCAACCACCAGCAGTGATCACCAATCGATGGCCAGCAACCACCAGCAGTGATCACTAGCAATGGCCAGCAACCACCAGCAGTGATCACTAGCAATGGCCAGCAACCACCAGCAGTGATCACCAGCAATGACCAGCAACCACCAGCAGTGATCACCAATCTATGGCCAGCAACCACCAGCAGTGATCACCAGCAATGACCAGCAACCACCAGCAATGATCACCAGCAATGACCAGCAACCACCAGCAATGATTACCAGCGATGACCAGCAACCACCAGCAATGATCACCAGCAATGACCAGAAACCACCAGCAGTGATCACCAGCAATGACCAGCAACCACCAGCAGTGATCACCAGCAATGACCAGCAACCACCAGCAGTGATCACCAATCGATGGCCAGCAACCACCAGCAGTGATCACCAGCGATGGCCAGCAACCACCAGCAGTGATCACCAGCAATGGCCAGCAACCACCAGCAGTGATCACTAGCAATGGCCAGCAACCACCAGCAGTGATCAACAGCGATGACCAGCAACCACCAGCAATGATCACCAGTGATGACCAGCAACCACTAACAGTGATCAACAGCGATGACCAGAAACCAGCAACTATCATCAGTGACAACCAGCAGCCATCAGTGACCACCAGCAATCATCAGCGATCACCAACAATCATCAGTGACTACCAGCGATTATCAATGACCAGCGACCAGCAACATTTACCAGCAATGACCAACTAAATAATGCATTACAAAAACCCAGATTACTTTCATATTAGCAAAAAATTACGGTAACATGTGCTTGTACTATGCAGAATGTGTTGTGAATGATTATGGTTGAGCAGCAAATTTGTTGTTGTCTTCTGTTTATGATGACATCAAATTTTAGTATCTTGGTGCTGAGTGCTACTCGCATGTTGTGTTGGGAATCCAGTCAATTGCTGCTCTTGGTTTTGATGTGAAGCAGGAAAACCCAGTTTCACACAAGTATGTAGCCGTGAAAGGCACCAGAACAGTGAGAGCTCTTTTGCTAGTACAGGATATGTTTCCAATTAAGAAACCCAGAATTGCTGCAGGCAACTGTCGGTGAACACCATTTGGGTTCCACAAGCGTTTCTCAGATCAATGAGATCTTACTTGATATTGCTGTCATCATCAACACTATGGTAGAGTTTCCTTAATGAACCAACTCTTATGATTTTATATCCTTGCACCCCTTAGGAACCAGTATTGCACCCCCTATGAGTGCAACTAAATCTGGTTAAGAAACACTGCTCTCGAGCATATAAATGTCCATGGTACACAATCCATGTCACACATTAGTACACAGGCATTGGAAACTGCTATGTTTGTGTACTGTTAAAGTCATCTCTGAGACCAGATTTGAGTTTTAGAGCTGCAAATGTCTCAGTTGCCTTCTTGACACAAGTAGATATTGCATCATCAAGAATGCAGTGAATTTGTCTGCCATCTTTAGTTTGTGGCCATCCACTAATATTTATGGTTTCCTGAGAAGGCTGGAACACAATCACTGTTTTATCTAGGCTGATGATAAGGACAAAACCTTTTCAGGAATGGGAAAGAATATACATCAGAGCCTGCATGTCCTGTTCTCTTTGGGTGACTAGTGTATATATACTCGACTCTCCCGTCGAATTCGACATACGAGGGTCAAGAAGATCAGTTCCTAGGAAACCGACAGCCTGACAACAGCACATGAGATTTAACTATAGTGGTGAAGGTTTCGTGCAGGACCATCCACACTTTTTGAAGGGCCGAATACAGAGACCTGGTGCACTACATGCCACAAGGTCCCCAAACGACCCTCCGCAGGTTTTGAATTCAGAGTTTTCCTTCTCCTAGACCAGTTGCCATCCAAGGCTATAGAACCCAGTCTGTCCTGCTATTTACCCATAGCTGGAGGGAGAAGAAGAGGATTCACACCTTTCCCAAAGGTATTAGCATGTAAGTGAATGTAATGGATTCAACTGGAATTCAAACTCGGCTCTCCGATTCCTCAATCCAAGCCACTATCCATTACTCCACCGTGTATATATATATATATATATATATATATATATATATATATATATATATATATATATGTGTGTGTGTGTGAGAGAGAGAGATAAAATAGTTTTTTAAGGTATGCTATGTTTATTGGTTTAACTGCTCAATATCAGGAATTGAGCATATTTAAATATAAAAATGGATACAGAAGTCAATATTCAATGATGACAGTCTGTTTCATGCCTATAGGCAATTCTTCATATATATATATGGGTTATTTCCACATGGTTTTGCTTGATTTGCCAAAACTGTCATCTTCTTTCTCTTTTCTTCTTTTTCTTTTTAGTGAATGGCAAAAGTAACACCAGCACAGGACCTTTTCCTGGACAAAGGGATATCTTTCCCCTTAGTGACTGAACTTTCACACATACACACACATATGTACATGTAGCAGCCAAACAATTTTTAAATTTTACTTTCTTCTTTCATTACAGCTATATTTGCATGCATATTAGAGTATTTTCTATCCTTTGTTATTCAGTTACATGAAAATATCGCCTTGTTGAAATTTATTTGATTTCCTCTCACCAACTGACAATGACAACTCGTCATTTACATGTGCTTGATTGTCTCTGCTTTTAAACTCAGTGCATTACTGCAACATATAACAGCATTGGTAATTAGCCATGTACACAAAATAGAGGAATTACTAATAATTATGATAGAATTTAAAACAGCAATTTATTTACATTTCTACGGTGAGCTTATTGTAAGTGAAAGTGTGTGTAAGATTTTCTTTAGAAATAACTGACTTAACTTTATTTGATATAACAAAAATTAAAAATCAAAATTATGTCCCTTTGAGCGAAGTAGTTACCTCCCTTAGATCATTTTGCTAGTATATTCCGATTTTTTAAATTTTTTTTTCTATGTCGTTTCAGGACGTGAGCGATCATGGCTCTCCACAAATTCCCATCATTTGTATTTCTAAAATCTGTTACTACCTCTTTCAGTTCCCGTTCTGTCATCCATTTACACAAGCTTATCAGGCAGGTGGCTTACGGCGATATCGCGTTGAAAACATGTTCACGCCGAATCACTGACGTGAAACAACTTTGAGCTTGGTCAACATCTAGATGGGTAACCGCTTGGAAATATCAAATGCTATAAAAAAAAAAAAAAAACTCATACCAACACGCATTGGGCCAGTTCTATAAACCATACTAATGTTATAGACAAGCGTATGGTTGCAAGAAAGAAATACGACAACAGTAGAAATAGATTTACGTGGTTTATTTCAACAGGAACGTGAGGGTTTGGGACAGCTACCTTGGTGTGGTAAAGTTCATAAGCCGGCTTTCTGATCTAGGTCAACCTCTCATAGTAGTTCACACATGTTGAAGGTGGTTGCCGCTCCCCTGCTGTCAGCAGCTGGACGTGACAGGTCTCTATCCTTGGGCACCTGTGGACTATATTTAGTCGTTCCCCCACGAGGGCGTCATGTGGCACAAGGCCTTTTTAACGTGGGCATTTCCGAGCCATTAGGCTCGGCCAAAAAATAGCCCATTTGAAACCGTATAAACGGGTTCAGGGCCGGTTTTACCTCCCCGAAGGAGACTCCACCCTTCGGCGTAGCCTCCTTCGGCGTAGCCTCCTTCGGGTTCCTCCCGCCCGAAAGCAGAGAGTTGAACCGAACCGTCGCTCAAGACTGTGGACTGCCTGTTGAACTTCCCTGTGACCCCTTTTATAGCGTTTTTTTATGGCTTAACAGGCTCGAGAAACGAAGCGAGTATAATTAGGAGGGAAGCATTTTTATTGGATGAAAAATAGAGCACTTTAAATATTATTTTATTTTTCGACCGGAACACTTGTGTCGGAAATATTTATGAAGAAAGATAATGGTCATTTTGTGACGGGGCTTTGTCCCGTTCACATCCGGTTCTCGCTCTTGAGTATTTGCCTGTAAATCAGCTGAGATATGTCTTATTTTATTTTATAACACTAAGTTAGTTTAGGCTTTTGTATTTTTAGTTGAGTCTATCTTTAATTGAGCAAGAGAATGTAAGCGCATTGACCTCTTTTATATTTTTAAATCACTTCACCCCAAGCAAGGTAATAGAGCCACTAAGATGCAATGTGTTACGAGTTTGGAAAAATACGAAAAAAATATTAACGAGAGAGAACAATAAAAGAACAGGAATCAAGAAAAAATAAGATGATGATTGACATTGAATTTAATTATTTGAAGATCAAATTTAACAGAAAAGCATGAAGCCGGAAGAGAGTTCCACAAGTGAAAAGAAACTGTTTGCATAGAAGATACAATTACATCTAGCCATTTTGACAGTAAAATGATGAGACTTTGCCGGCAATCTAATAATATACTTAAATTCATAAAGTCTAAGTACCAAAAAGAAAAGTTCATTAGAACAATTAGAATGAAAATATTTATAGAAAAGGCACAGAGAACCTATGTCACGACAGTGTGAAAATGACTGAAACCGAGGCACAAGGTCAGGACCAATAATATTGCAGATTCTCCTTTCGCTTTTATCACACGGTACTGATAGTAGACACGGAAAAGAAACTACAAAACCTCCTACAGAAAGTAGCGAGGGAGAACGAGAAGAAAGGACTAAACATAAACTACAAGAAGACAGAATGCATGGTCATCAGTAAAAGGATGAACCCAAAATGTGATTTGCTGGTCGGGGACAATAAAATCAAACATGCACGGAAGTGTCAGTATCTGGGAAGTGTTCTGATGGTAGGTGCGACGCTGAGATCCGAAGATGGGATGGTCAAGGATGCATTCCAGAAGATAGGCAGAGTATTACGAGACCGGAGGATTTCTAGGGTGACAAAAAACAGAGTACTGAGCTGCTAGGTGACATCCGTCCTCCTATACGACAGCGAATATTGGACGGTATCCTCAAGGATAAAGAAGAGATTCGAGGCGGCGGTGACGTGGTTCTATAGAAGGATGCTGACGATATCATGGACCGAGCATGTGGGCAACGATGAGGTCTTGGAGAGGATTCAAACAAGGAGGAAACTTATAAGGAAGAGGCAGATGAAATTTCTGGGACACGTGATGAGGAAGGATGGTCTGGAGAATCTGATTCTCACGGGACGTGTAGAGGGAAAAAGAGACAGGGGAAAGCAGTACATGACATACGTGGCGGGCTTGGGCAGGTGGATGGCGGAGCATGGTCTGGAGGAGTTGGTAGAAACACAAAACCTGTTGAGAGCCACAAGGGATAGGGGAAAGTGGAAGGCCATGATCGCCTACGTCTGAAAGGACACGACATATAAAAAGAAAAAGATTTACTAAGTGCAGCTTAGATGTGGAGCAAAGCCGATATTAAGGAGCACCCAGTGAGGACAGAACTCACTACTCAGTCAGATTGAGCGAGACAAGCTTGTGCTCTACAAATTGTAAATACAAACTAGTTAGCATTTCATTTCAGAAATTGTGGTTTTATATAGTCCCTTCCGTTTAACCAGGAAGTGTAAATGTGATGTTTTGGATAAAGCAATATTACTGAATGTTTAGGTTGTAGAATCAGACTTCTACATTTGTTTAAAAACTCATTAAAAGTGGCTCAGAGCGGAATTTATCTCAAATCAATCCAAGTAGCCCAACGACCCATTTAAATCGGCTCCAGACGAGAAGTAACTAAAAACGCTTTATGATTGTAATGAAAAGCAAAATATTCCCCCCTACCACCAAAAAAAAGTTTAAGAAATTAAAAAAATAAATAAATAAATAAAAAAATTGCAGATCTCCACTTATTCGTCAAAAAAGATGATGAAAAAAAGGCCCTGAACTTGGTGAAAAAAATTATCAAAATGTTATGTTACTATTAATAGGAAAGGCTAAAGTATTTTTTGATTATTTTATTAATTCTTTTATACTTTTTAGAACATTGGAAATTTTGATTAAAAATCTTGTTTTTTTTGCAGTGACTTGTTTTGGAGGTGTTACTTATAGCTAAAAAAAAAAATGTCACTTCTGTTCTTCCGTTCGATAACTTCGCCTTGACCTAAGGACAGAGGTCAAGGTGAAGTTATCGAACGGAAGAACAGAAGTGACATTTTTTTTTCGAATTTTAAGTGAACTTATTTAACTACACAATAATTTAAAAAAATTAACAAATACTTTCAACAATCTAATATTTTATTGATTTTTAAAAATTACTTTTATGTACTTTAGCTTTATAACTTTACGTTTGAAGATGATTTCTGGAAAAATAAAATTTATTAAAATACTAACAATAAATTTAAAATTTTGTAAGTGAAAGTGAGATAAAATTTCATAAGAGATATCTCTTATGAAACTACTAATGACTTGTTTTTTAAGAATTGGTTTCTTAAAACATGTGACATTAATGATTCATGTCATGTACGACTATCCATATATTTGGAAAAAAAAGGTTTTTATCCACACTCAAAATGTTAAATTCTTTTTTAAAATAAGCGGTTTCACAGATTGTAATAATCTTTCAAATTTCTGATCTGTAAAGATAGATCTACTTAACAGCATTCACTAAAATTATCGGATTAAATTTTTTTTAAAGATTTAACTTTTTCACATTTCGTATTTAAAATTGAAAAAAAAAGAAAAAATTCTTGTTTCATCGGAAAAATATTTTGGCATAAGATGACAATATTGTTTTCAATATATTCATAAAAGCCATTAAAGCTTTTCTAATTCAATAATGTCTTAGTTTTATTGGGTTTTAACTTTTGTATGTTACAATCCAAAGCTAATTTTCAGTGACGATATGTTTCGATTTTACAAAAAAAAAAAAAAAAAAAAAAAAAAAAATTGATGATATTCTTCAAAGATTTCTGCTTTTAACTAAAAAAAAACGGAACAGCGTTGAATTTCTCGAGTTTCATTTAAGTAAAACAGAATACATTTATGACTTTCTAAAAAACATGTAAATGATTTCCTTCATTCGGGAATAAGTTCTGAAAGTTTCATTTAAAATCCGACAATTATTTGATTTTTGTAAGAATTTCCAAAACAATGTGTTTTACTTTTTAACGCCTAAAAAGACGCTAAATTTCCTTAATGAATCTTGGACGGACCCGCTGAGGCAAAAAAAAAGAAAAAGATTTTTACCAAAATTTCGAACGTGCTAGAAAGGATGAAAAAATGATAAAATATTGGTACTTTTTCAATTCTAACAAGTATCATGGCTTAAGGAAGTTTGAAAGAATACTGTCAAATATAATTTCACCCCAATTGGACCAGTCTCAGTAGTTCCAAATATTTTTTTTATTTAGTAAGAAAGTATTTGTTTTCTAACACTTCGTTAAGCATTGACAATAACACGTTTTCAGAAATTATACTCTTTAAACGACAGATGTTTTTTTAAATTATTGCGTAATCCATAGCAGAAACTATCCGGTGGTCAAGTTTGTCATTTGAGAAGTTTTTACACCGCAAACGAGGAAGTTGGATCCATCAACAAATGCTTTCTAGCAATGGATCAGTTACGAAACTAAGATACGTTATTAAAGAAAAAAGTCCATCAACTAATAAATTAACTCACTTTTTTCAGTTTTTGTAAATATGTTCATTTCTGTGTTATTTTTGTTTAGGAACAATTAACTTTACAATTTAAAATATGATACGCATATGCGGCTCCATATTTGTTATTGCTATGGTGGCATGCTCCTAAAGGTGATGCGAAGAAAGGTAAGCTTGGGTTGTGTTATTCAACATAAAAATGTAAACGATGTCCAGTCGTTGGTTAATGTCTTGCATTTTATACGAATTATCTATTTATCGGCAATATGCGTCTTTTTTTCTGAATTCACATCAATGATGTAAAAAAATAGGGAATAAAAATTTAGTGTTCACAAGATAGCCCTTTTGTCGCCTTATCTCAGTACTTTATTGCTCCCGTTCAAAGTATTTAAGAAATAATATATTCCAGTTTTGTAGTTTCCTTTTTTTTAACCAGAACTAAAAGAACTGTCTTGTTCGCGATTTTGGTTTATACTACACACGCCAGTTAAAAAAAAATAAAAAGACGGAAAGCTAAAGAGAAAAAGAACTTGAAAAAGAAAAATAACTGGACAAGTTTCTTTCATTGTCAAGTTAAAAATAGCAATTTTAAATGATAAATTTTTATTTTAAATTTACGATTATTAGCTGTTTCAGTTTTCGAAGTAACGTGTTAAAATAGCCGATAGCGTAAAAAGTTCATATGCAAAATCGCTTGATGTTTATTTTTAAAGTAATTTTTTTTCTTATTTTGTTTTTATGTAAAAACTTAAAAATCCCAACAGCAAACTCAAACTTCCTTCCTTTAAAAATTAGTCGAAAACTTTAAAAATGACAATGACTGAAAAAAACATGTAAAAATCCTAGAATCATTTATTTTATGAATTTTAACGTTAACTTAGTAGTTCATATAGTATCTAATAGTTGAGAATCATTTCAAGATTTTGCGAATTGTAAATGTAATCAGAAAATTTGTTTTATTTACCATCGGAAGAAAAAAAATCCCGAAGTTTACCAAAACAATTATCGGTTATTTCCCTTTACCTTAAAAGTTATCTCCCTTTTCAGTCCGTCAATAATTTACTCTTTAATAAATAATAATAATAATAATAATAATCTTGCTGTGATCGTTCAAGATGTGGGCAATCAATTTCCTATTTTTTGAAACTTTTGTTTCCTGACTATCCCACTCAGTTCCGTTCTGCCATCCGTTTACATAGTAGGTTATTTGATGTTTCCACTCAATATGTCTCGTGAGCGTCAAATTTTCCAAACTCTCCTTCCAAAAAATTTCAAGTTTCTTTCTGATTTTAAGTAAATGTTTCCATTTTGTTTTTGTTTCCATTTTTCTTAAAACTTCCTTGTTGCTCACATGCTTCGTCCATAGGATTCTCAGCATGCTTCTGTACAATTATAAAAATTTTTGTTTGTTTCTTTCTTTTTTTCTTCTCACTCTTCTACCAACACCTTATGCCAGACACAAAATTTAGTTGGCAGAAGAAACGATAGCTGCCGTTAGTAAGTACGAGTTAAAGATACAAGACAAATCACTGCGTAAAATTTTAAAAACAGGAAAAAACATTTATTGTACAATTATTTTACAATAAGCACAAACAAAGGTAAGAAAAAGAAAGGTTGCACAAAAATTTCCTTCTGTGCGCCTAACACGGCAGGATAACAATATTTTCCTGGGGTTTCTAAAAAGGAAATACCCACAGAAACAAGCTATGAAATTAGTTGTTTAGTCCGACTCCGGTTTTTGAAAATTTAGACCCTTTACAAAAATACAAAAAAAGGGACAAAGTTTTTAGAGACCAACACTTAGCAGAACGCACAAAGCACCCACCTCCTTTCTTTGAAGAATTTTCATTGACAGCAGGCTGGATTGGTTTTGGAAAAGGTTGGTTCTCCTTTCTTTGAAGAATTTTGGTTGACAGCAGGCCGGATTGGTTTTGGTAGTTGGAGAAAGGCTGATTTATGGTCCACTTGCCGGTCAATGTAGAGAGAGGGTGTTAAGTGGTCTGCGAACTGCGTGTCGTCTCAGATCTGCCTCAGTTCCCTTTCGTTAATTTTTGTTTCTACTGATCGTTTCTTAATGTCCTCACTTTTATTTGAAAAAGTCGGCTCCACTTGGGGCCATCCGGAATTTCTACAGGCCTCAAAAACTCAATTTTCATTGGCCAATATATGAAAAAAGGCCCTTCTAAAAATTTCACTTTTGGCGGCTATTCCTGATCCGAAAGGGTCATAAATTTTACACAAGAAAATCAGAGTTTGGCAAACAATTTTGGCGGCAAATCTTGATCCAAAATGGTCATAAAAATCGCGCAGCTTTTTCCTTTTTACACACACCGTCCGGCTTACAAAAAATACACCTTCCTCAAAAGACGTGTAAATAAACAAAAAAAACAACACCTAGACGGTCTTACATTTAAATTGACATTTTTTTTTTAATTCTTTCTTTAAATAGAAATAAAATTTTTATACAATCACATCTTGGTTGCTTCATCTCTTTTTAATCTGTGGGATTGTCCAGTGATCATTGCCATTTAGGATTGATATCACATAGCATTTCAGCACTCTTTTCTTTCTTTCTAATGACATTTGGAATAAAAGAAATTTGTCTGCTATTGCTCTATCGCTACTTTCATATTGTAGTGAACTACTGCAGAGGGCAGAGAGGTCCAGGGTTGCATGCATTTTTGCAACAATCTTGACCACAAAAGGCAAAGTCAATTCCAATTGTAAATAATTGGGAAGTTTGTCTATCTATTGACCCAGCACCATTACACTGATAGAAAGGAAAGCCGGGAGTAAAAAACAAGGAGACAGCACCGGAAGTTGGTGAGGGATGAATGGGACATGGACGTGGCATGTGGCCTTGTGGTGCAACGGTAGCACGTCTGAGTCCAGAAGGTTGCGTCTTCAAATCACATCAGGGTCAAAAATGCATAAAAACCCTGGACCTCTTTGCCCTCAGTGGTAGTTCACTACACATGTGTTGGGGAGTTATAACTTTGAGTAAATACTTATAAACCCCCTTACATTAATATATACAAAAATACTCATACAAATGAGAAACCACAAGATGTGGAAACAACATAACGAGTATTATTTATTATCTGACTGTTATGTGGTGTTGGAGACACAAGAAACTAATACTGAGTAAAATTGTGAGTCTGGGGTCAAATATAAATCGGAATAAAGCAGAATGATAAGATAAAGACTTAGTAAAGCATATACAGTTTTTCTTGTATGTTTTTATAGATGTGCATAATGTGTGTCCAGATAATTTAGTAAGAAAATACGAGAAGTATCTGGGGTTTTCCTACCTCAAATTTTTGTTAAGTGCTAAGAGCTAAATGTTACTATTATGGCTTGAAAAAGGAAAAGGCATCAAAATTTTCATTGATGTGTGAGTTGACCGCCTGTCCCTATTGATTGCATTTTGACAGCAGTGAATGATCTCAGCTTGGCTTTTTCTCTTGGCCAGTTATCACTAGTTGATTTGGTTTGGTACAGAGAACACTAACTTAATTAGTTTTATTAATCATGTTGGCATATACATTATCTAACTATTCAGTGGGGGTCACCCCCTCCCCAACTCACTAGGGAGCCGTTTCAGACATGAAAGACAACACATCTACATTGCTTGACAGTCAAGAAAAACCTTTCTCTTTCTGTCATTCACATGCTAGTTCAGCCAATCAAAATCAACTTTCTTATTATGTCTTACATCTCACCCTGAAGTCGGAGCTGAGATACACTTCTCCCTAAAAATAATAGTTTGCTAAACTATTATTTAACACACTTTACCTAATCATTAAAAAGATTAATTTATGAATTTTATTTCAACGATGTTACTTAACCCTATATTCTTTCTTGTTTGCATGGCCTGCTCCTTATATTTTTTCTGCATTTTTTCATCCCAACCCCAGGTCAGCAGGTACCACCTCTACAATACAATATTCCTGGGGAGAACAAAATTTCTTGCCACTTCGTTTGAAAAAAAATACTGAAGTCATTGTTTATTGCAAACTTTGTCAATTCCATTTGTTGAGCAGTTCTACCATTTACATTTAATCATGGCCACTTATTGTACAAAGCTGACTGGAACAACTGCCATGAAAATATTTATAGAAAAGGCAGAGGAAAGCCATGTTATGGGCTAATAGACTTGTGGATTAAAGTGTTGGTTCATGATTTTGGTGATATAGTAATTGTAAGTTCAATCCTTGGGCTGGATTGTGTTTATTTGGACTCTGTGGAAATGGCAAACTATAACAGAGCAGTACTAAATAAGAACTAGGCAAGATATACCTGGACATGAGCAGTGGATTGATAACGTTCTACTTCAGTAGATTAAATAAAGGGTTCAGTTTGAAATTCCCTGTAGGTTACCTGGATCAACATAGACCGGACAGAAGGCACAACAGCTAAGATGAGGATAATAGTCGGTATGTAAATAATAATAACTCTTCATCCCAGAAATTCTTCTTCATTTATACTAAGATGATAATATTAACTCTGTTGGTCTAAAGTAATGTATATTTTATATTTAGCAATTTTTTCAACATGTCTATTCAAGGAAGAGTGTATGCATCAAACTATGGCCAAATTTAGGCCTTTGCGCCTACAAAAAAAATAGTGTCAAAATGATTAGTTTTTCCCTTGACACTGCTCTATCCTTGGCAATGTTTGTTGTTTTAAAAAAACAATGATTAGAATTGTAATAAAACCTTAACATATGATGAAAGTGAATTTATCCATAACAGAATTAACAAAAAATAAGCAGGTCAGCTTATTAGATGTATCATAATGTATATACCAAAATTACAATAATCTAGGACAATTATAACTGCCTCACCTAAAAAAAAACGTCTCAAAGTTTCTGGAATTCCTCTCATAAATCTTCATTATGGGCACTGAAGAAATTGTTGAATGTCTAGAAACAGTAGATCCATTCTCTCATTGTCATATTGTAGCTGAGATCCTAATAGAAATTATCTTGTCTGAAATAATCTCTCTAATTAAGTTGAAGTGAAAGGGTCAAATCCTAACTTAGTCTAAAGGAGACATTATTATACATTAATCCTGCGTAGACTTCCCATGTGAATATAAAAAAAAAACAGAAATTAATATTTTCTAAATATTCTTTTAAAAATGAACATTTTAATGAACATTTTAATGAACATTTTAAAAGTATATATCCACATAACAAACTACTGTGAACTACCAATGTGTTTGAAGTGCTGTTCTGCAGCATATCTCTGCAATGCTTATATAGTCTTTTTTGAGGCTTGTACATGTTTAGCCAATGTACACAATTAAGTATTTTGTACAATCTATTTTGTAAATTCCTGCTTTTGTCCTGTTGTTTTGGTGCTAACTATATCTCTTATTATTTTTATCTTGTATTATTTTAGAATTTCAGGTTATGGTTGTATAACATTATTTGGACTATTGTCCTCATCTTTGTCGCCATATTTATTACAACATTTTGGCTGTTGTATGCTCCAGCCTTCTTCAGGAATGTCAAACTGAGCCCTTTATTTTGCTCACTGGGGTAGACTGTTCTAGCTCCATACACCATTTTGATGGATGTCAGTTATCAGTTATCTCCTGTTAATTCTCCTCTCCAAGTTCTCCACTGCCTTAACTGGGTATTGAGCTCACACTCTTTGGGTCCTGTCACTGGATCTAACCAACACCTGTATCCACTGTGCCATGTGTCCTTGAGGACAGCTGTGCATGAATTTCTGGGTATTATAATTTATTATTATATATTATTTTATCAGGAACCATTTTTTTCATTTTTATCTCAGAAATATAGACAGATAATGGTTGTACAGTGTAACCCGGATATAAGAGAAACCCGGATATAAGAGAGATTTTCTCTGATCCCAAATTAGAGTCTGTGTTAATGTATATAAAATAGACCAAACCCGGATATAAGAGAAATCCGGATATAAGAGACTTCTTCTCCGGTCCTGACAACTCTCTTATATCCGGGTTAAACTGTATAAGCTATTTTCCAAGGTGGCTGTTATGGAGATGGTAGGTAGGATTATGTGCCTACTTTTGCTATGAGTGGGATTATTATTATTGTCTGGATTTTTTGTATATTTCTTCTGTGCACTTTGTTGGCTTTACATTTGGTATTATATAGAAAATAATTCAAGCATTGGAGGAGTTTGACAGTATTTTCAATGTATTTCTCTTCCTCAGGCAGGAATTGGGGGTTACAGATTCTAAGGGCTCTTAAGTAAAAGCTTATGATTACTTTTGTACTATTATATTTTATCTTGATCTTTAGGAAGTAAAAATAAAAATTAGAAATACTGTTTGTATGAAAACTTCAGTCTGTCATATATAATTTTAAAATAAAAAACAAAATGAGCAAAAATTATAAAAAGGATAAACAATCTTGTTTAAAAAATTAATATTTGTCAAGAGTTATAAAAACCTGTTATAAAATCAACCAGCCTAACTATAATGTTTCTCTTTATAATATCTGTTGGATTCATTGACTGTTAATCAAAATTTAACTGATGCTGTTGGAAAAAATGAAACAATGATTAGACTTAATATATTGTATCATCTTAATATTTTTCTTTCTTTTAAACAGTGACTAAAGGTTTAATATTTAATTTTTTTTTTTATATCTTTAGAAGTGAGATGAATGATTCTGATGAAGTGCAGATATTGCGGGATAAAGTAGAGAAGCTTGAACAAGAACTTCAGGTCTCCACAGATGCTCTACATTTGGCACGGCAACAGCTGCAACTGCAGGACAAGCTCATTGAGGATGTGGACAAACTTCGAAAAGAGGTGGAACTTGCCAACAAGCGCCTGGAAGAGAGGGATGTCCAGTTGCAGTGTTTGTTACGACAGTTGGCTCTCACACAGACAAAATGCAACAATCTGGAGGAAGAAAGGAATAGAACAATCAATGTGGATATTTTACAGGTAAATCCTGAACCATGTTTTTTTTTTTTTTTTTTTTTTTTTTGTTTTTGTTTTTTGGTTGGGGGAATCTATACTCCCTAAACATTCCTTGTTGTATAGATATATCTGTTACTGCATCTTTTCTGGATCTACAGGGGTTGGTTTTCTTTTGCTTCATTGAGGAGTTTTGTTTAAAATTATAGTGGGCTTGTACAATAGGCACTGTGAACAGAAGTAATCATTTTCTCTCTTTTTTTTTTTTTTTTTCAATGTTTTTTTTCATACTACATATTATGCACTTCAGATCACAAATATCAAAAAAATAAATTTTTTATTAAATCTTATAAAAGTTAATAGGGCTGTGTGTCCAGTTTACTATTTAAATTCATTATAGATTGATCCTTCAACGAAAGCTAAAATAAAATATACTCATATGACAGTGGTGTGGCGCACCTTATGGGTGCAGCAGCAGAAGGTAGCAGGTGAGGAAGAATGATTGAAAGATAATCAAAGACTTAGAAATAGTTTGAAAAAAATTCATATACCAAAAATAAATATGATTTCAAAATTTAAAATATTATTATTATAGATTACATGTAATTGCCTGCATGAGTCCCAGTATAAATAGTTATCGATAATTATCGACCGATTTTATCATTGTGATATTTTTGCATTATATCAAATATTAAGAATATAATAACTAGGCTCCATAAATTGGAGGAAAGAGTTATCAATGATAATGTTCTAACTTCAAATCCGCAGTTATCTCCCTTTAACCCTCTCTTTTTTTATTTTCAAATGTACTTTTTTATCACATAAAATTTGGCAAGGTTTAATCAAATTTTTATTCCAAAAATGCAACCCGGAGAAAAAATGTCATATGACATGATTTCCTAAGATTTAAAAATTTTTTAAGAATTTGAAATTCATAATTTGGAGTTTTTTTCATATATTACTATCAATAAGTGTTCCAGATTATGAATTTAAATTTTAAGTAATTAACTTTTATAAAATTTAATAAAAAAATTATCTTTGTTATTTGTGATTAATCTACAGTAATATAAAAAGAAATTCTGGTTACAGTGCCTTTTGTATCACTCCACCTTATAGGATGAATCATGAAAATATCAAGGCATTCCACCTCACGATTATAAAATCACCAGAGGTGTATGAATGTTTCGCTATGAAAAGATACAAGATCACTTTAATATCCTCCTCCTTAGAGTGGTTTAGTGTGGTGAGTTTCAGTAATTTAATTTTGCTGGGTAACTAGTGTTACCTAGCAAAAGAGCAACTCACATAGAAGAACAAACATGGCCAGCAAGGGAAGAGAATGAAAAACAACTTACCTTTTGAGATGTGGTAAATGGCATCTTTCCATTAGTTGTAATGAATTCTTCTCCTCTTGTGTGGGAGAGCTCTGATACCAGATCTTAGGTAATTGGTGAGAGACAATTTTGTCAGTAATGTAGACAAAGCACTTTCACATAAAAATGGTAAAAGTACAAAAGCATAATAAGGAAACAAATAAAAAAAAGCTCCAGTAACGGTCCATAACAAAAAATGTGTAGCAGAGACCTGTCCATAAACTACCAATCAGGTACTAATTCCATCCACATAGGGAATGGGTTATAGCCCTGTAAAGCATATGGCTGGATACATGTTCATGTCTGGTTGATTTAATGCAAACTAGAAACAAAATTAATAAAATAAGATCATGAAAGTAGGTAATTCTTCACACAAAGAAAAATTTGTTATTTTTTTTTTATAAATCGAGTGTTGGGGTTAATTGCAAGTAGCATAACATCATCACAGGAAATGAAACCAACAAATAGATTCCAATTTCTGAACCTGCTGTATTCACTTTCACACTAATATCCTTCTGCTTCCCCCCATATATGGGTTAAATAGCAGGATACCCTCAGCACTCTAGGCTTGGTTGGCAGCCAGCCTAAGGAGACTACATTGAATTCAAAACCATAGAGAAGGCAATGAGAAACCACACTACTGTCTTTTCCAAGCAGACATGGCAGTTCACAGATAATAAAGGAAACTGTTATGGAGAGACATGACCAGTGCCAGATTTACCAATAGGCTTAGCAGGCTGAAGCCTATGGCCTCAAAATCTAGAGCCTTCAGCCACGGTGTATAATATTTTTGACACGGTCATAGGCCTTTCCTACACGTACTGTCATAACGCATTGTAGACTCTAAATAACCCTTCAATAATTTTCCTTATAGTGCATTACAGAATAATACTGTCCTAACCTAATAACTCAATGATTTCGTCATAGATTTTTTTAATTTTTAACATTCATGCATTTTTTCAATCACATATTGTATTTATCAATAACATCTTATGTCTTTTAGAAGTGGAATTGTCAACTGTAGAATTTTAAACACCTATCATCATCCTCAGCTTTACTGAAATTGTTTAATTTAACATTCTTCCATTTTCTTCTCCTCATGAGAATGGGGGATTTGGAGGGGGCTTCACAAGTAGAATAGTCTAGGCCCCCCCCCTCTCTTCATCTAAATCTGGGCCTGGACATAATTGCCTATGTTCTGGAGGACCCATTGCCAGCAACTTGCTAGTTACAACAAAACAGCTTTTTATGATATGAAACAATTTGCAATGAAACCCTGAACTGAACCTGATGCGCAAACTATCAACAAAAAGTATACTTGGAAATATCAAAATAAATTTGGTGATAATGCATTTAAAAATGATGTATTGATATGAGTGAACAATACCTTCATCAATCAAATAAATCTTTCCACCCACTTTCAGTTAGTTAAGTGCCATATGTAATAAATGCTTGGGCGATCATATCTCTTTTGATTCATGTCTAGTATGTCCTGCTATTTAACCCATAGCTGGGAGAGAAGAGATAGATCCATATCTTTCCCAGTGGTATTTGCATGTAGGTGAATGTAATGAACACAGCTGGAATTTGAACTCAGCACTCTGATTTCTCATTCCAGGCCGTTATTCATTGCATCACACCACAGATCTTCCTGTTTAATTACTAGAATTTAAATGAGACGATGACCGAATAGCCACTAAGAGAGAAGTTGTTAAATTGATCCTCAATATGTCAGCCCCTTTTTAACATGCATCTATTTTCCTTGCTAATCTCATTGTCAGAAGGATCCTAGTGCTGGAGAAATTAACTTGGAAACATGTCAGGAAGAAAATGAAAAACTGAGAGAAGCTCTGAGGGAAACCAAGGAAAAAGTTGGCACATCAAATGCTAAGCAGAAGAGCATGCGAAAAGAGATTGACCAACTGACTAAAGAACTGTATGACTACAGAAACGAGAACAAACAGAGGCATTATGGCTGTGATAAATCAACGCAGACTCAACACTTAACTGATTATTCAAATGGTAAGTTATTTTTTGATAAATAAAGACAAGAGTTACGTCCCTTGGCATATGTTTAGCGAAATACATTTATTGGTCACCTTGAAGAAATGGTTAGCAAACCAGTCTGACAAACAGTTGTAGTGAACATGATCTTTAGTGAATGTAGCAGATTCGTTGTGTTGTGCTTTATTAAGCAAAGCTTGGAACAATACATTTAGACCTTCATGTGATAATTATGTATTTCTTACACATGCCAGAGACTAAAACCAGGTGAAAAATCAGATTTCAAATGCTTATTTTCAAGGTTGGCAGGCCATTCCCATTTGGAAGCATGGCGTAACATAATCTTCCTATCTTTATTTAATCATATCTGGTCTTGAATTTTATTCAGTTAAGTTTGACAAATATAAATTCATTGACAGAAAAATTATAACTTTATAGGATAAATACTCACTTAAAAATTTCTAATTCCTTTTTTTATTATTAGTAATAACTTTAATTTGTACTAGACCACCAGTGACCCGTTGAGTCAACCTTGTTGTGTTACTGTTTACATTCAGTTTCATGAAGAGTTTGTGAAAGTAGAGATATTTTAAAAGTACATTTATTTGCAGTTATTGAAGTTGCTTTCAAAGTTAAAAAAAAATTGTCTGTTTGAAGAAAGTTGAAACAAAATATTTAAAATATTGTTTGCTTAAAGAAAGCTTAAATCTAAATAAGTACATATGCAATCATGGGAAGGTGGAAAGAGAGAGAGATGGGTAGAAAGAGAGAGAATTTTTTTTTCTTCATTTTTTTTCTCTCTCCCTCTGCTTCCTACACAATAATAAATCCATATCTTTTTTTTTCACCCACTCTCTATATAAGACTTCTGGCAAACACACAAGCAACATTCACAGACTTTTATAGGAATAAAGATTTGTGAATAAGTTTTTGAATATTTTATTTTATTTTTTCTTCTAAAGTGTGTATTCTTATTTTTCTATTTGTTTTAGGGAACAAAACAAAAGAAACAGAAGAGAAAGTTTATGATTTACATGCCAGTGAGGAACAGTTCCCTGATTGGGGTATGGAAAAGGTAAAAAAGAAAATAGGAAAAATCTTTTATATGAGTGATGGTTGTGGCTTAATATTTTTCTTTAAATATAGCCAGCTCCTTGTATATTAATCCATTAATGCCCACTATAATTAATCCAGTATAAATTATAGGTTTGCCTATAAAGGGTCTGGTTCACATATCTCCCTGATCTTTTGTTCAGGAAAAGAAGTTTACAACTTGTCTTCTTTTTTGGATAGGGTTTCTGGTTCCCTCTAAAGTCTTTTCTTTCTCTTTCACTTCTAGTGGCTCCTTGCATCTTGGTGGCATTATCACCTTGCTTGGGGTGGTTCTTCTTACTCTATAAGTCTCTATACCTTGAGTGGCCCTTGGGCCTTATACAGGATGAACATCATTTAAACAGAAAAAAATGCACAGAGAACACAAATTCATTTTTCCGTTTTATCCATTGTTACCACAGAAACATAGTTTCATGTATTTTTATATAACTAATAAATGGTTAACAAAAGAGAAAATATAATAGTGTGTACACAGCTGAAAAGGAAGAGAAAATCATTAAAGCTTACCTACTAGAAACTGTGTGTATCCATGTGTGTGCAATACAAATGTGTGCATGTAAAAGTTCAGTCATCAGTCATCTAAAGTCTTTTCTCTTTAACTTCCTGTGGTCCCTTGCATCTTGGTGGCATTATCACCTTGCTTGGGATGATGTCTCTAACTCAGTAGCCCTCTACCTTAAATCATTTTAAAAAAGAAATTGATTTTTAACATTATCGATATACTTGAATTTATTCAAATTATTGTTCTCATCTCCCTTATTATAAACATAACATTTTGGCCAAGTCCACTCTGGCCATCTTCAGGTGTCCATTGTTTGTCTGATATAGGATATCTGTTGATCATTGTTTTATTTTGTCCCTGTGATTCTAGTTTTTGTTGGTTCTTGCTGAACCAGTGTATATTGTTTTACTGCCTGTTTTAAATCAAACATCAGATGGTTTTCATATTAAAGATCAGATAGTGGGCATTAATGGATAAAGAGAGTAGGTCTTCTATCTTTCTGCTATACCTCTATTCTGTATAGAACCTAATCAAAGTATCACATCCCAAGATGCTCACTTACAAACATAACTGTTGGTTTCATATACAAACATTATGTTATGTTGTGCATGTTGTCTCATTTGTTATAATGTAATTTGTTGATCTCTATTCCAGCTTTGTATGTGAGAGATATGAATGGAAAAGAAATAGAAAAAAAATTGGAAAGAAAATCAGTTTTGCTCTCAACATACTTTCCAAATCTCAAAGTAGTTCTGTTTCATAAACTTTCTTCATTGATGGAAAGATATTTTTGTTTTCATTATATTTTTTGTCTTCTATTAACTCTAGTTTTGTGGGCAGCACTCACTGTCAATTGCTGACAGCATAAAAGGTGTAGCTGAGAAAATGGTCCAAGAGTTGGATCTGGACAAAGAGAAAGGTCTTAATGGGGAGAATGCAGATCAAGTGGGCAGTTATCCAGACAGCTCTCTCCAAGGACAGGATGAAGGCTCAGGAGATAGTAGCACTTCTCATGCTCCAGATTCTTCCTTTGTTTTTGATCCTTCTTCAGGAATGTACTATGATTCTCATAGTGGCTATTACTATGATTCAGTAAGTAACTGCATTGGTCATTCTATAATAACTCTTAACTAATCTCTATAAATATACATATTCAGATGTTATGTTGAAAAATACAATTTTTTTTTATTCTTTTTTTTTTTTTTTAAAGCAATTCACCCCAAGCAAGGTGGAAGTGTCACTAGCACATAAGGGGTTACAGAGGATTGAGAACAAGAGTAAAGAGGCATGTTTGGGGAAAGGATAGAGGGTGTCAGATGTCGATTGACATTACACTTGAATATTTGAAGAGTATAGTCATCAGGGAAACAAGTAAGGGGAAGAGAGTTCCACAGATGGGAAGTGTGGGAGAAGAAGCTGTTTGAGTAGAAGAGACAGTTACATTTAACCATTTTGACAGTGAAAGGTTGGGACCGAGATGCCAGCCCGGTAGCTCACTTTAACTGGTAAATCTACAAATCAAGTGTTTCTTACATCTTCTGCACACTTCTTTTTTTTAATTTTTTCATTATATTTCTTTATTTTATATGCCTTAACCATCCTAAAAACCAATTTTTTTTTGCTTGTTTGCTTGAAAAAAAAATGATGAATAGGATAAAATACAATACTACTGTGTATTATTTGAGTAAGGAGATGTAGTAAAAAGAAAGAATTTACTTAGGGCTACAAAAGATAGGAAGTTGTGAGGAGCCATGAGCGCTCACATCCTGAAGGAACACAGCACAATAAAGAATCACTTACATCTTAAATTGATTCATTGGAGGTTTGAAAAAATACTATTTGACAAGAAAAGCTAAAAATAATGTAATGTTTTTTTTAATCAGTTTACCCCAAGCAAGGTGACAATGCCACTAAAATGCAAAGGGGACAACTGGGAGTGAAAAAGAATGAAAAAAAACTTTAGAAGGACTTGGAAACCCAATCCTAAGCAGTAAATAAGGGATAAACCTCTACTCCAGTTCAAAAGACTGGGGAAGAGTGTGAATTGGATGATGAGCAGATCTATCTACTCCAGTTGAGAAAAAAGTAAATAAATATGAAATAATATTATGGAGTTTAGGCCGAGATGTTAGAAGTTTTTTTTAAACTTACCTACTTCTACCATGTATACTATTTCAAGTATAGTGTGACACTTGAATTTTTTTTGTGAAATCCTGATTTTTGCATATAGTTTGTGTATAATGTGGACCCAGCTTCTGAGCAATACTAGTTGGCCTACCATAGTCAAATATTGTAGTACTGGATCTCATCCTGGACATTTTATAGCAAATAAATGGTCTTCATTCTTTTTTGTGCAATTATGGTTAGACAAAACTACCGTGAGAATGTATGCCTACCAGATAGGGTACAATCAACAAAAATGCATGAATTTTAACCCCTCCAATGTATAGAGTAACCAGTCACTGAAGATGCATGATTTTTAACCTCTTCAAAAAAAATCTGTGTATAGCGTGACCCCCCCCCCCAGTATTTTTTTGTGTAAAATAACTGATCATAAAAACTCACATTGTACTCAAGTGTATATCGTAGTTTGAAATCCCATTTAAATTATTATAATTTTGAAAATAAGTTGATGTTAAATTTTCATTATTAAATATTACATTAAGTACATTTTAAAAATTATTTTTTCAAGAAAAACCACTGCTGGTAAGAAATTGTTTCATCCAATCTCTTAACTTTCGTCCTTACTATCCTTTATTCTGTCTTTTCAGAGCAGCACACTTTATTATGATCCCCGGACAGGTACTTATTTTTACTACAATCATTCCACTCAAGAATATGAATTCCACTCCAAAGTGGATTTATCCGAGTATAACGGTGAAACTGGTGTAGACAGTGCCAGTGACAGCTGTGCAAGTTCAACAGACTCTGATGAAGAAAGTCAGACTGAATCCAGTGAATTGGAAGAAGGTGAAATTAAAGAAGAGAAATCACCCAAGAAAAAGTCACACAAAAACAAGGTATGTATGTGTTATATACTGTACCTATGAACACTAGTGGGCATGTCCCAATCCTCGTAAATATGTGTTGGACACTATTATAAGTGGGGGTAATATGCTGTCTAAGTAGTTCACCACTAGCAGTTGTTTACTTACTTCACACCACTGACGAGTATTGTATTTTGTTGATGCTATAAAGATTACCATTTCATTTCCAACCTTTGTTTTGGTTATTCCTCATTTAGTAACCCTTTTTAGGTTAACAACAGTATGATTATTCTATAAGTTGTAACTCTTACTACAAAATTGTATAGTAATATGTTTGGTTGAAAATTTAACTTTGTTTGCTGAAGACAATTTGACTTGCAGTAGAACATGTGCTAAGGGAAACTACTCTATCTGGTTTGGATGTGAAGTTGACGTAACAGTCCTTGGTGCAGAATTGACATTGAACCAATAACATTGCAGATTCTTCTTGGGATTCTATCAAGAATCTCTAAATATATATTTTTCGTACTTGACTGACTCAATTGCTGCTTCACTTTCTTTTGTATCATTTTCCTTCTTCAGTCTTTTTTCTCATGATTCAGTTATTTTAGTTACTGGTGTTTATTGTACATGATGTTCTTTCTTAATTAGTTGGTCACATATGTATGCTAGGCCTACTAACATTATAACCGAGCATATATGCTGATGCATTCAGATATCTAATTTTCAAGTATTCTTCCTTGTCTAGTATTTTTATTTCATTCCACATGGGATGATGATTACTCTTTTCTTTACATATGTGATCAGGCATACCTAATTACATTGTTTTACCCTTAATTATGGCATTTTGGTGTTTTCGTCAGCCTTACTTTTAGGGGTTGGTTCGTTTCACCTTTGTAACCTTTGCTACAACTGCAAGAAATAGAATATACAGTTGTTGGTCATTTTCTCCACTGTGTTAGGCTTGAAAAAAAATCTGCAGGCAATACAAAAAGAGAAGCAGCAGTGAAAGGAGCCAAATTTGAGAGCAAATTACAGAGGAGTAAAGATCATTAGTTTTAAGGCTCCAAGTTGTAATTTTTAATTTTATAGGACAAAGGCCTATAAAATTAAAATGTTGGTTAGTGAATTTTGTGATATAATAATCGTGAGTTCAATCTCTGGGTTGGGTAGTATGGATATACTCAGACTCACTGGAAACACGACTTGCAATAACTGAACAATTAACCAAGGCAAGACATCCCTAGACATGGACAGCAGAATGAGAGCAATTTACACCTGCAGATGGAATAAAACAATTCAGATCAAAATTCCCTGAAGGTTACCTGGATTCACAGATTACTCAGTCTGGTCCAAAGACATGAATTATAATACCTGATATTTCTAAGATGTTTACCTAACCAAATACTAAGCTGGTTGGACCCAGTTCAATCCCTGGACCAGGTAGTATATACACAGACACTGTGGAAACACAACTAGCAATAACTGAACAATTAATCAAGATGAGATATCTCTAAACATGGACGACAGAATAAAATCAGTTTATCCTCGTAGATTTAATAAAGGTTTTTGTTTGAAATTCCCTGAAAATTGATACCTGAAGAAGACCATAATGTTGTAATTGTAACAACCAAGAAGAGGATATTAGTTTGACTGTAAACAATATAACAATAAAAACTGTCTCATGTTGTTTATTGTCATATCCAGTGCTATATTCCAATGTAGTTAAAATAGTAGAGTTGGTTGAACATATGATAAAATAATTTATTTAGTAACTCTTTTTGTCTAATTATGTTTTTCTTTTCCTTTTTTTTTTTTTTGGACACTGAGGTCACTAATGGAGTTGCTTAAGAGTCAGTCAAATTTGAGCATAGTTCCTTATAAATGAGTAGCTTATTAAATATATTGTGTATTTTATTAAGTTTGTCGCAAAGACATGGATTATAATACTTGATATTTATAAAATGTTCCCAGCCAAATACTAAGCAGGATGACCCCAGTTCACTCCCTGGAATGGGTAATATGTATATACTCAGGCACTGTGAAAACACAACTAGTAATAACTGAGCAATTAACCAAGGAAAGACATCCCTAGACATAAACAGCAGAATAAGAGAATAAGTTTAAAATTTCCTGAAGGTGACCAGCAGAAGAAGGCTCAAGAACACATCAGCTAAAATGGTGTGATCATAACAACAAAGATGAAGATATTAGTCTGTAAATAATGTACAATATTGTTTTGGTTCTTTTTTAAAATTTATACTTACAAATAAAACTTACTGTGTGAATTATTTCATACCTAATACCCACTTCAGTCTGTCTATTTGGGTATTTGTAACTTCCAAAATATGAAAAAAAATGTTTCAGATTTACTCTGTATTTTTCTTTTTTTGTGTTGTGGAATTTAAAAAAAAAACATGCTTGACTTTTGAGAATGGATTTGCTTGATATCATAAAAATAATTGTTAATTTATAAAAATTTGTGTTGTCTAAATGTCTTTTTCATTTTAAAAACTAGGAAGTATTAATAAAAATAATGCGCTGTCTTTAGTGGGGAAATTGATGCTACCTTTTGATTAAATTTAATTTTAGAATGGAATTTACACCAATGGCAAGCAACTAATTAAAAATTTGTATTAAAAAAAGAAATACTTGCAGATTATGAACAAGGGACTTAGGACTTTAGCATTCAACCTGCCCCATAAATATCACTCTCAATGTTCAACCTGCTGTAACCCATTCCCATGTATACCCTGCCGATGTCATCATCAGAAATAATGCAGGAAGTTATGCAAACAGTGAAAAACTGACAATAAATCATGAGATTTTGAAAGCTGATATTTATGGAGCAGGTTGGATTGAGTCAAATGCTTAAGGGTTAACTGTATAAAACTGCCTTAAAAAGCCATAAAAAAACAGCAAAGAAAAAGTATTTTTAATAAGAAAATTATCATAAAAGATGTTGTAAAATGTAATCTTTAGGCGCACGGGTTGACAATAATCCAATGGTATTTTCATTTTTATTTAAGTATTGTGGCGAAGAAGGAGAAAATGATGTCTTACCTCGGAAATTAATTTGCATTTTCTGTGTAGAAAAAGAAAATCAGAATCAAGATCAGGATGACTTTAGTTGGTTATTGAAATATGGTAATTGTTTGCTTATCCCTACCAGTCTTGCCCAATCACAATCTTTCTTACCCCAGTAAAAGAACGTTACTTTGCCCAACAGGTGGATTTCTTGGTTCTTTGTGGGTGAAGCAGGTAGTTGTGCATTACAAGTTTTGTCCCCTTTTGATTTCCCTCCTTGGCATTTTTAACTGATTTATGACTCCTGAATTTTTTATTTTTGGATATGAACCTCTCATTGTTATTTTCTCCCAAGTGTATTTGAATAGCATATAAGCTTTATTAAATATAAATCAACTTCAGTTTTACTTTGTTTCTTCCTCTTTTTGTAATTAGAAAAAGTACCAAACTCTTGAGAATGGATCTGCTGTGTCTTATCTAGTTCCATGTGAAGACGATCCTTACAACAGCAAAAGTATTTCAGCAGAGCCTGTCCTCTACAGAAGTGACCATGTGGATGCTGAGAGTTCAGATGTGACAAATGATGCTGATTATCAAGCATGCATGGAACTTTATTCACAGATTTCTCATCAGAAAGACAGTTTAACTCGAAACGTCAGTGGTCCTGTTTGTCATCAAAGACAAGGTAATTTTAAAGTTATAAATATTGCAATTAAAACAACAAAAAAAAGAAGTGTGCATTGCACACAAAGCAAAGAATCATGAAAGCTTATGAGTATCAGAATGGTGCTATTTTTGTTGGAAACAATCTTCAGCTAACATTCAGAAGAAAATTATCATCAGTATCACTAACTTCATGCAGTTTAAAGTCTATTAGTAATGGCTACACTGTTTTAACCTTTTAATTTATTGTACTAAAAAGCAATAATCAAGAATCCATTAGCAGTAAGCATCTCTAATGCAGTTTCTTTTAAGTTTGTTTTATTTTCTCAACTGTTGTTTATTTTCATGTATTGTTACCTTGATAAAAAAAAAGCAGCCTTACATGTTTTTTATCTCTCCTTATAATACAATAATTTGAAAATAACCAAAAATACAACTTTTTTTTTAACCCTAACTTGACTAAAATCACTTACCACTGAAAGAGTGAGAATCGGTTTTGCAGTAAAGAATTGTTAATCAATCTTAAATTCTTTAATATTTCTGCTACCATTGAGGTACTTCTGTCTTTAAGAAACTTGCATTGCCTGTTGTATCTCATATACATTTTCAAGACACCATGAAATGTTGGTCTCTTTAGTAGACATCTGTTTATCTCGCAAAATAATGTTAGTACCCTGTTTGATCAAAATTCAGTCTTTTGGTGGTGACCTCTCTAGGGTGCAGGTATATGGAGGTTGTGTGCTACCCAGACCCTGTGGTCCCTCCTTTCAGAGCATTAAATTTGGGGACAGCTTGGTTGCAGCAGTTGCCAGAAGCTTGTCAATGTTGGTCCCTAGCATTTGTGTTATAAACTAACTAGCACTCATTACTATTTCCTAACCAACAAAGTCATATAGTAGCATACAATGCATCCTGTTTGGTTATGTATTTTTATTGTGATTGGAGGGTGGTTGTTTAGCTTAGTGTGTACTGCAGTTTCTTATTGAAACCAAAATGGCAGTGAGAAATCACTGTTGGCATCTTTTATAGTCATTTATTTCTTGTAAATGTTAATTCCCTGCTTTTCCCAAAATGGGCCAGTACAGCCAGTGCTATAACAATACAGATATTAAAATGTTAGTAACTAAGTTAATGAAAGTAAAGTAGTTTTGTAGCTTTAATCTGTTGAATACTGAGACTTGACTGCATGTCATTACATTATCCATGAATGTTTTCACTATTTCAGAACTGCCCATGTCTCAGAAAAAATCAGTAGTGAGGATTGGCAAATGACTTGTGTTAGTCTGTATGTTAGGACATGTAATTCTTTTAGGTGAGTGTTGTCCAAGTAAACTGGTGCTATAGAATTCAGTGAGTTAAGAGAAATGAAAGATGGCTGAAAGGTTCCCAATAACTACATGCAAAGGATTATAAGGATTTTTTTTTTGTTTAAATTGAAAATTTTAATGATAAAGATTTGTAGAGTGAGTGGTCATCATTAAATATAAATAAATAAATGGCAGAACTACACAACAAAATGATTTGACAACGTTTTACAATAAACAGTTACAAGATAATGAAAAGAACAGGCCAAATAAATAATATAAAGCAAGCAAACAATATATACAAGGCAAATTAACAGTAATATAGCAAAAAGTTCACAAAACGAGAATTGGGGTTAACACACAAGAGCAAGTTCAGATGAGCAAACATCGTGTTCTGGCTTCAGGGCAAGACAGATCAGGACTGAATCATATGAAACTGAGAACAGGCCTATTTTATTGGCTAGTAAGAAATCCCAGCATGCATTTGTGTGCTTCTGCCTATAAATTTAAGAGGGGAAAGTGTTTTGCAGTCATTTCTACAAGATTGGAACTAACAAGATTAATGTAGTTATAGGCATTAATAATAAAAGAAATAGAGGTAAAAGAAGATATGCTAACTTATGCTGCTATATGGCCAGAAATCATTTACTAAAACTAACATATAAATAAAAATTTTGCTTAAATTATTTTAAATTCTATAACCATTCATAAAAAAAGAGACAAACATCAGTATGCAATGCAGTTTCCATTCTAAAGTAGATTTGGGCTCCTAATTGTTTACTGTACAATTTTCCATACATTTATTTCTGCCATATTTTTCTTCATTTGTTTTTTCTGTTTTCACTTTTAGAGTCATCTGAAATGTGGCCACCTTGTATTCGTCTGATTGTCACTGAATCGAATTGTCTTGATGTGGGCAAGCTATTTGTTGTTACCTGCACAGGGGCATCCATTGGACAACGCAAGAAAGACTTAATCCAAGTTAATGACATTGGCAAAGTTGGAGTAAGCGTCAACATTTTGTTTTAATCCACATGAATTAGTTATCCAAGTGAGCTATGTTTCAATTTTTAATTGCCTTTAGCGTCACATTGTTCATCACGTAAGCTCAGATATGTTTAGGAAGTTTTAAAAAAATTCTCATGACAAAATGTTCATTCCACAAATACTTATACTTTTATTTATGTCAGTCTATTTGCTCTCCAGCTAATGTTAAATCCTGGATTGTCTTAAACTTGGACCTAATAACCTTACTCCCTGTCTGAATTGACAAGAGGAATAACAGCTTTTTATTGTTACCTTCTGGGAAAATAAGGAAATCAAGAGAAAGGTGTTTGCCTGAGTGCTCACATGTTCACTCTCTGATATTATACCTAATGATGGGACAGTACAGGGAAAAGTGGATTTATGCCTTTCCCAAGAGCATTAGTGTAAAAGGAATTCCTTGTTTCCTGTTTAGGATTGGGTTTCCGCTTCCTTCTAAAGTCTACTTCAACTCTATACTTCTAAGGTCTCCGCCTAAAACTCTGAACTTTTATTTACTATTGAATTACTTTTTCTTTTCTCAATAGGAATAGATAGGTTCTTCTATTGTCCAGTTTACACTCCTCCTCTGTCTTTTGAACAGGATTGGAAGTTTTTCATTTGCTTCTTGTTTATGATTGCATTTTCAGTTCCTTCTAAAGCCTTTTCCTTATGTAACCATCTACCTTGAGTAGCTCTTCAGTTTTGTACAGGATTAATATCATTTTAGAATGGATTTTTTATTAATCTGATAGATTTCTATCACTTCAAACATTATTTCTAGTGGATACTCGTATTTGAGTAGGTGCTCCATTTATTTATTAAACAGTATGTTTATTTATTTTTGTCTATTGGCTTGAATACTTGAGAAATCTTATTAAAGAAAAATTTTCCCACTCCAGCAGGAATCAAACCTGTATACTTTGGGGGCAGAGGGAACTACTGTTTAGCTCGGTATGCCATACCGACTTGACCACAGAAAGCAGTTGGTCAGGCATGGCCAAATTTAATGCTTTCAAGCAAAATTTCTCCTGTCATAGATCTATCAGAGTTTTTCATATTTGTACAGTTTTGTATCTGAACATAAACAAAGAATTTTAGAATGGATTTTTTATTAATCCAACATATTTTTTATCATTTTAAACATTATTTTTAGTGGATACTTGTATTTGATTAGACGCTCTGTTTACAGGCTGGTACTCTTAAATAAATGGAGTGCTTACTTAAATATGAATATCCAGTAAAAATAATGTTTAAAGTGATAAAATTGAATATCACTGTATTAAAGAATCTCACTTTAGAATTTGAACTGAGCTAGCTGAAACCATTTATCTACTGATAACTGTTCTGTCACTTTCCCCTTTTATTCTATGGAAATTATTGTGCCACCTTATTCCATTCTTTGTATTATCTCTAATTTTATGGAATGATTTTTAGTTATTCTTGGGTGTTGAACAAAGGTGGGTTTTAATAAAAGATAAGTTGGAAAAAATTAGAAAGCTTAATAAAAGGGGTGGTTCAATAAATGGGATGGTTGGAAAATGATTAAAAATCAAAGAAGGACTAAAAAATCTATATATTTGGTTATTCTTAGGTGTTGAACAAAGGAGGTGGGTTTTGATAAAAGGTATAATTGGAAAAAATTAAAAAACCTAAAGGGGTGGTTCAATAAATGGCGTGGTTGGAAAATGATTAAAAACAAGTCTCTCGTACTATAAGAAGGACTAAAAAAAAAACTCAAAATAAATGTCCGTCAATATCTTTAAACATAATGCTTTAAATGAATCAAAAAAATTTCCATGAAATTTTGCTAGCATTGTGATATAAATAAATATCAATTAAAAAAATTAATAAGCTTGGATTACCCTCCTAAGCTCTTGGCAGGCCAGTGGGGCGGGGTTCTAAAAATTACCAAGTCTGGTGGGGCATTTATTTTGGCACCTGAGTGTACCCTTTGGCTATGCTTCTCTTCATTTTTCTAACCATAGAGTAAACAATATTGAAATTCATTTTAGTAGTTATGTATGGAAACCGTTTTGCATAAAGCAAATTTCTGTAAAATTTTTCAAGTATGTTGCAATTATGTATTTAATTCATGCTGTCAGAATTGTTGCATGTATAAACATTATTTTCTCTAATTTTGAAGAATTTTAATTTGTTTGTCAGTCTATATATATATATATATATATATATGTATATAAATAAAAAGAAAGAACAGTAAGATATAAAATCCGGTGTTCTTATAGATATTTTATTTTTACAAAATAGTGCTCAATGTAAATTTACAGAGCATTAATATTATAAATTAATTGATTTAAAATATGGTTATTTTCGCTACACAGTTCCAACCATGTTTCAAAAATAGAAGCTAAAAACCCTAATTTTATTTTTTGCAAATAAATTAAAAGCATTAGTTCCATTTCATCTTCAAGCGAATTTTGGAGTAACTTTTAAAATTTACGGGTTTTAAATACATAGCTAAAATCACGTTTCCATGGTTACAGAATATTCTACTCAAATTGAACACGGGTGTCTAGATTTTCCTTATGACAGTATCATTGTATCAGTTATTAGCTACATTTTTGGTAAGGGGTGAGGATGTATTTTACACTGAAACCTGACGTCGGTTGAATGGATGTCGTCTGAATTTAAAAAAAAAAAAAAAAAAATTGTTAACGGTAAAAATTTTCAACGTCATCTTTTAAAATTAAAGATTTTTTTTTTTACAATACTTTTATTTAACTACGATTTGAAATATTTTCCTTTTTAATTTTATTTTACTATATTCTTTTTTAAGAACAGTTAAATGTATTAGAATCCATTATATTATGTAGGATTATTTTAACATTAAGTTTAAGTATGTATATGAGGTTACATTTTTTTTTTTTTTTTTTTTTTTGTATATGACTATGACAGCAGAAATGGTTACTTAATTTCACTGATTCAGTAAACTTTTCTTTTATATATAAACCTATTATTATAATATTTCACATGTAAGTACTGAGGACATGGGTCATTCAAAAGCTTACATGTTATGGTATTTCATATTAATTTTATTTTACTATAGGTGTTATTTTTGGATTCTTTTTTTAATGCGTGTAGTATTATTTAAAAGAAATTTAGGTTAGAATTCATTCAATTTAACTACAATTTTAATTACAAATTCAAAATTACAACTTTAAAATTTTAAAATATTTTCATTGTTTAGTTTTAATAGACTATATTACTTTATAACAGAAGGAAAATTACTCATATTAAGTAAGATTATTTTTCCATATCAAAGTATATGTAAATTTTTTTTTTTTTTTTTTTTTTAAATTAAAATATTATTTAAGTAATATTAATGGCACTTACTACAAAACTAGCTAAGTCATTTCTCAGATTTAGTAAACTTTATTTATTTATTAATTAATTAATTTATTTATTTCAAATATATGTAACCTAATTAATAAAGTTTCATATGTATGTATAAATAACATGTTAGAATTCATTTTATTTTACTACAATTTTAATTTCAATTTTAAAATTATAACTTTAAAATTTTAAAATATTTTCATTGTTAGTTTTAATTTAGACTATATTACTTTATAACAGAAGAATAATTACTCATAGTAAGTAAAAATTTTTTTCATATCAAAGTATATGTAAATTACAATTTTTAAACTTTTAAATAATACTACACGCATTAAAAAGAATCCAAAAATAATACCTATAGTAAAATAAAATTAATATGAAATACCATAACATGTAAGCTTTTGAATGACCCATGTCCTCAGTACTTACATGTGAAATATTATAATAATAGGTTTATATATAAAAGAAAAGTTTACTGAATCAGTGAAATTAAGTAACCATTTCTGCTGTCATAGTCATAAAAAAAAAAAAAAAAAAAAACCTCATATACATACTTAAACTTAATGTTAAAATAATCCTACATAATATAATGGATTCTAATACATTTAACTGTTCTTAAAAAGAATATAGTAAAATAAAAATTAAAAAGGAAAATATTTCAAATCGTAGTTAAATAAAAAGTATTGTAAAAAAAAAAAAATCTTTAATTTTAAAAGATGACGTTGAAAATTTTTTTACCGTTAACAATTTTTTTTTTTTTTTTTTTTTTTTTTTTTAAATTCAGACGACATCCATTCAACCGACGTCAGGTTTCAGTGTAAAATACATCCTCACCCCTTACCAAAATGTAGCTAATAACTGATACAATGATACTGTCATAAGGAAAATCTAGACACCCGTGTTCAATTTGAGTAGAATATTCTGTAACCATGGAAACGTGATTTTAGCTATGTATTTAAAACCCGGTAAATTTTAAAAGTTACTCCAAAAATTCGCTTGAAGATGAAATGGAACTAATGCTTTTAATTTATTTGCAAAAATAAAATTAGGGTTTTTAGCTTCTATTTTTGAAACATGGTTGGAACTGTGTAGCGAAAATAACCATATTTTAAATCAATTAATTTATAATATATATATATATATATATATATATATACACACACAATGTACTATGTAATTAATGAAGCTAAATAAAGGCTGGAGGACACAGTGACTAAAACAAAATGTAGTGCTAACTACAGCAACAACAAAGATGAGCAGAATAGTCTGCATGTAAATAATGTAAATACATATTTAGTGTTCATTAATATTGCTTTTATTTTGATTGTCAGTTATTTACATTCACTGAGAGATACAAATTGTGAGTGCCTAATGTGAAGTATTAACCATACCATTCTCTGATAATTTTGGTTAACATTTTTCTTCTCCAACAACCAATAGTAAATATATGGAGAGAAAAGGGAGATCACCGCCCTCTGTGGGATCAGGTTGAGATCATAGACAAAGAACACCATTGGAAAATTCATAAACTTAAGGAATCAGCACATATGAAAAATCTCCTGAGCCAACCAAGCATAGAAATGAATACAATATGGGAACTAGTAATAAGGAGTGCCAGAAAAAAGCTATAACAACAACAAAAATTGCAATATGAGCTCTGGTAAAAATATAAAATGATAACAGCAAAAATTGCAATATGAGCACTGGTAAAAAATGGTTGCTGAAGACATTAGGTTTATAATACCCAGAAATTCATACACAGATGTCCTCAAGGACACATATAACAGTGGATAAATGTGTTAGTTAGATCCAGTGAACGGACCAAAGAGTGTGAGTTCAATACCTGGTTAAGACGGTGGAGAACTTGGAGAGGGGAATTAACAGGAGATAACTGACAACTGACATCCATTAGACATAGCACGTGGAACTAGAACAGTCTACCCCAGTGAGTGAAATAAAGGGTTTGGCATTCCAAACACCTGAAGAAGGCCAGTGCATACAACGGCCGAAACGTAATAAATATAGCGACAAAGATGAGGACAATAGTCCGAATAATGTAAATAGTGTACATAATACCTCATCTCAGAAATATATATATTGTCAGATAGTTTTTAGGATGTTGTGAACATAATTATTGTTGTAAATAAACATTATAATGAATAAATAGTGTTTAATATTTTTGTTGTAAATTCTCGAAAACAAAATATTTATAAATTCACTTTTATATGTTTAAGTTTTATTACAATTATAATCATTTCTTTTTAAAACAATAAAGATTGCTGAAGAGTGAAGGTAGTTAAAATAATAGTAGTGTCAATGGAAAATGGTCCTTTTTTATTTTTGCAGGTATAAATGTTTAAATTTTCCCATATTTCTACACACATAAGGTTTTTTTTTTTTGCCTATGATTAATTTTTAGTATGACTAATACATAAGCATTAATTTTTTTTTTTTTTAATCATTTCACTGCAAACAAGACGCCAGTGGTAACCAAATGTGAAAGAGAATGAGAAGACTTTAGTGTGGAGAAAAGCCTATAAAAGAAAAGGTTTCAGGAAGACAGAAAAAGGCTAGTGACATTGTATTTAAATGTTTGAAGATCGTAGCTGGCAGAGAAGCAAGAAACTGGAAAAGTTCCACAGGCAAGAAGTTTGAAAAAATAAACTGTTAATGGAACTTAGAGTTATATCTAACTATTGTGAAGATAATATGGTAATAAATTTAATAAGTATTTTTGTAACTTCTTTATTATTTCCATTTAATCTTTCAGATTTTCCTTTAAATCGAATTTAATAATTTATGACAACAAATATGAAACCCTATTCTTTCGTTTTTTAATTATCAATTAAAATTTTATCAGTAAAATCAAAACTTTGCAGGCCAACAAGAATTATCTCCCTTGCAGGATAACATTGTTGTTAGAATGTTTATTGAAAACTCACTTAAAAGGCTATTAAGCTAGCTTCTTTGGAGGGCTCTTGATTGGGCCTTTGTCTTGTTTAGGAGTTTGAGAATCCCTGAGTCTTTGCATATTATCAGCATTGAAAGTTTTCTTGGCTGCCATTTGATCTGGGTTTTCATTTGTATGGCATTTTCTTTTCCTCACTGTAGTTCTTTCTTGTTTGCAATCTGGTCCTCTGTTGGTGGAGATTTCTTTTTGCAATGTATACTACTGCCATATGCGATAAGCTACAATAGGCTACAGAAGAACTCAAAATTAATCATGGCATTTAAATATTGCATTAGTATTTAAGCTTACCTTTTAAAAGTTCAACAATAATTCTGCTACCACTTAATTTAAAGACGGTTTAATATACATAGGTCCTTACTTTCTGTACAAACAATTATTTTTATTTTATGTGTCACTTTTGCTGGATTTCACAATTAATTTCAATTATTTCCAAATTTATTTCCAAGTTATAAAAATTGTTATCTTGCAAAAAATCATGTAAAAAAAAATCGCAGTAATGAAAACTTGGGAATTCAAAATTTTAGGATTGTGGGTTTAGATCTGGCTCAAAATGTTTTTAATTTGCTCACAGAGTCGTCCTGATTCCAAAATGGTATGATATGTTGGGCTACAGCCTCTATGAATAAAGTTGAAAAAGTGTGATACACTAACATTCACATTTATTTATATAGATTAATAATAATTTTTTTTTTGTTTTAATAAAATTTTTATTACAGTTATTCGCCAAAATTTCCTTTGATAAAAAGAAACAATGTTATACCGTGAAAGGATACAGCAAGCACACAGCCCCTTGTGTCAATGACAAACAAGTGTTCCAGGTGAGAGAATATTAACTGAATTCAGTTTTAGATTTTCTTTAAATTTTATCTGTTAAATGTATATTCAAAATTAAATATTAAGAACCAAATTTTGATTGATAAAGTTATGTTTAGCAATTATTGCTTAAAAAATAAGATTTTTATTGACTTTTTTTTTGCCATTTCTGTACTGTTTAAATTATTTAGAATAAAATCCCTTTTATTTATTGTAAATTAAGTGTGCTCAAACAAAAATAATTCTCAGGATATGGAGCTGCCCAACTTTGCCAAAATCTGCACACGAGAATGTAAGGAATTGAATCCCAAACATCATATAGAGACACGCGGTCTGACCAAAAAGTAATGGGACTGTTGCTATACTAACAGAGCTAAAGTATACAGGGTGAAGCCATTTGACACATATTTACCTTGAACTCTGTTGCACAAGTTATGATATTATTGTTCACTTCCTTTTTTTTATGGCAGTGTTTGGAAGGAAAGTGTGTAAAATGTTATCATCTCACCACACCACAGAAAACTTTAGGAAAGTGGTTATAGCAGGTGATAAATTGTGGCTCTATGGTGATGACACTGAAACCAAGGCTCAGTCTTTGCAGTGAAAGACCCCCAACTTGTCTGAGACAAAAGAAAGTACAAATGGGCCAAAGTAATGTGAAGATGTTTTAGACTGTTTTCTTTGACTACAAGAGCATAACTTCATCATAAGTATGCTCCACTTGGTCAGACATTAAACAAGGCATACTACCGTGATGTGTTCATCAGGAAAAGACAATTGCATGTGTCTGATGAGTGGCAACTGCACCATAACAATGCACCTACCCATTCATTAAAGCTTGTGCAACAGTTTTTTGCAAAACACATTTCCCAAGTTCGACAACCACCATATTCCTCAGCTTTTGCCCATTGTGTCTTTTTCCTCTTTCAAAAAATTAAATCTCACTTGAAAGGAACAAGATTTTAAGACATCAAGGAAATACAAGAAAATGTCAATGAGGCAGCTGATTGCTATAACAAAACAGTAGTTTCAAGAATGCTTCCATCAATGGAAACGGCACTGGATAAAGTGTGTGTGTTCGGAAGGAGATTAAATTACTAATTCACTCACTTGTAATTTTATTTAACTGTTCAATTATTATGACATAGATCAGCAGCTATATTTCCCTTCTTTGGGACAATATGCACCTAAATGCAACAAAATTATGAAGGTAACTCTGATTATTATGCAGAAAATGCAAACTGTTTTATTTTTTTATAGATTTACTACATAAAGGTCACAAGCTGTCTACTCTGAGTAATTACTGATAGCACATGTCATATATATATATATATATATATATATATCAAAGGAAATTAAATACTGAATTCATATATGTTGTAGTTTTCTTTTTTATTGCACCAGTTCCAGTAATTTTTTCATCAGACTTTGAGTGTGTATATATATATATATATATATATATATATATATATATAATTCCATTGATAAAATAAATATTAGTTTGAAGAAGTCAGTTGAAGGACAAAATATGTTTTTCATTTTGTCATTGCATTTTTTGTTCTTTTAGTCCCCCCGACACATATATATATATATATATATATATATATATATATATATATATATATATATATATTTGTATATAATATTTTCCAGATTTACTATTCAAAATAATCTCCATGAAAGTACGTTTTATAAATCTAGTTTCGACAACAACTTTCCAATACAACTGTAGCACAGAACTTTTAAATACAAGTGATATTTTGAGACAATTTTTTTAAAACTTTAGTTCTGAAACAATTTTGAAAACTGATAATTGCTAAAAAAAATTACGTTTGAAATTTCTGTCTTTCAGCTTGGCTGTTTTGGAAATAATGCTTTTATTTTTGATTAATTCATTTTGCAACACTCTCCCACAAAAAAATAGTGCAACTTGCCACTGCTTAATGCTGTACTATTTCTTCTTTTTAGTTTTTACAGGTTAAATTAGATTGAATGGAAATGAAGGAGCAATTTTACCATAACAACAAACAATATTATTGGTCAGTTGCTATTAATCTGACATCTTTAGAATCTGTGGGATCCTGGATTAATGCTTTATCCAGATCACTAGTAATCCAATGGCTAAACTCTTCATCCTTTCTGTAAAATACCATGTAAATGAGTGCAAGTTGGATAATGCAATAAAAATAAACAATGCTTAAAAAACAAAAAAACAAAGGAAATTTTAATGAAGTACTGATAAGATAAAAATTTATAAAAATTAATGTTGTCTGAATCATTGTCTTTATTTTAAAAATGACTACCAGCACAAAGATATACATACATACATACACATAGCCATGTTTTTTTTGTTGAGGCAGGACCAGGATTAATCTCACACAAACAAGGTGGGTCCTGCCTGACAGGATTTGTCATAATGATTTGAAGCAAGGTTTCAAAATGCCGGATGGTCTTCCTGACACCCAACTCAGACACTCACTGTAATCAAAGTACACTTAGTGTTTTTATTGAGACATCATCTCTAGGAAGGTTACTATTCAAGGTTTGAGATCAAATCCTATATATATATATATATATATACACACACACACACACACATGTTAACACATGTTAGCTGTTGGCTTCTATAAGAAACTCATCTGCTCTTTGACAGGTTTTGTTTTTCATCCTGCAGAGTGACTTGCAATCCTCCACACCAGCAGAAGAATAGTGGGGAAGCTGGTTTACATGCTAACCACCCATCCATGCAGAAGGTTGTACTGAGTTTCATGTTACCAGTAGAAGATATAAGCCTAACCTGACTAATAATGTGATAAAACTAATGTAGTCTTCTTGATGCTATCATCTTTGAATGAACTGAAGATCATAGCACTGAACATTTGAAATTAATTTAACTGAAAGTCCATCCAAATTAACAGTTAAATAAAATTACAAGTGACTGGATTAGTGATTGTTGTCTTGTATTTATATTACTAGTATTTTTTCTCGGCAAATTATCTGTGATTAGATTTAATTTTAGAATGGAATTTACACCAGTGGCTACCAGTTAAAGGTCTGTTTTAAAAATTGAAAGAATACCTGGAAATTGAACATGAGTGGAAATATATAAAAGTGTTTTGAAAAAACAAAAACTCCTCTCCTCCCAAAAGAACAGCAAAGAAATTGAATTTTTAAGAAGAATATTATTATTAAGGATTCTGAAATCATGTGTTCTATAGGTTCTCATGTTAACAATAACCCAGTTGTATTTTTATTTTTTTTAATCCATTTTCTATGCTTAAATAACATCAAAATTTTTAAGTTTAGCTCAACCACTGTCTGATTTTATTTCTTTCTGTTGTGATGTGGGGTCTTGTAAAACACAACACTTAACTCAACAAAGCCTGACATAATGGTAATATTCAATACTCAGCTAGACAAGTCACTGCAATAGTATTATCTTCTAGACAATTACCCAGGGCTACTTATGAATAGATCAGTCTATTCATAATAGTAAGGAGGGTAACTGGCTTTTACCACAACACCTTCTCATATCTTTTCTCAGCAACTGACGGTTTTTTTTTATAAACTAGCCTTCCTGAATTTAGTTACTGTATCTGTCACACTCTGTTGAAAAAGCCAACAAGTTTTGGTGCATGATAAAGTACTGCTGTGGTACCCTGAATTAATTGTCTCAACCCAATACTTAAATCATACTTAACCTTAAGGTTATCTTCTGGTGAAAGTTTTCTTGTTGAGTCAGATGTTTTTGTAGCAGCATTTGTGAGCAGTTATGTATCATATGCTTGTAAAAAAAAAAAAAAAAAAAAAAATTGAATGATACCAGGAAAGACAAGTGGCACTTTAAAAAAACCACCATGTGGAGAAAAAAATGTTGGCAGCCCAATTAACAATGTGCATGCCACTGGGACTAAAATGCCAATGACAAATGTTCCAAAAATAAACTGAAGAATGCTATTATATCAGAAAATTATGTTTTCTAGATCCAATTTTAATTCTGAAATGGAAAAAACATACCTTTATAAAATGCTTAATTTACAAATTTCTAAATTTTTGTTTCTTTTCCTTTTCAAAGTGGCCTTATATATTATTATATGCAAAAATTTCAGATAGAGTACCATATTTGATGGCATATAAGATGCATCCCCAATTTCATCAGGGAAAATGAAGAAAAAACTAGCAATTAGTAAAATTATTAGTAAATGGTACAGCCTAGGCTATATTTATGTGGTATTATTTTGGTTAAATAAGCCATGATTATAATTAAATGAAAAATAATAGGGAAAAAAAACACGAGCTTACAAAAACTTTATTATATCCAAAGGTAAGAAAACAAAATAAAAATCAAGCAATTATTACAATTGAGAAAAACAGTACAGTTTCCATTAAAATTTTTTTCATCTTCAAATCCATAAAATTTGTCGTCATCATTATCAAAACTCTGATACTCATTTTCAATACTACTAACATCGTCGTTAAATAATGTGTCATCTTCCGTTCCATTGAGAGCATTGCTAATACCACATTTTTTAAAAGATTTTACAACAATTTCTGGTCTAATATTATCCCAAGCTTGCTTCAACCATTCACAGACTTGTGCAATGCTGGGTCTTTTTATTCTTCCTGTAAGTGTATGGTCGTGATCAGGCATTGCCATCCACGTGTTCCATTGCTCCTTCATGATTAAGTCTAAGCTAATAGGAGTTGCCAGGTAGTTAAATTCAACCAACTATTGTGAATTTTAGACCTACATATGGCAATAAGATACACGGGAATTTTAAAAGATATTTTTAGTAAAAAAAGTGTGTCTTATATGCCATCAAATACAGTATATCTATAAAGGGACTATAAATAAAGTCAAAAGGAAAACTTAGCCGACACATTTTATTCTCTGAGGAACATCATCAAGGCAAAAAGTCCATCATTGGAAGAATCCCATCAGTTGAAATAAGTTTTCCTTTTGTCTTTATTCCTATTATTATATTTTGCCTTTTAAAATGAAAGATAATCATTCAGAATGTTGTTTTTGTAAGTTTTCTAGTTTATATTTAGCATTTGCAGATGTGTTTATTAAGATTTTTGAAATATTTTTATTTTTTCTCCTTTCAAGGCTCATGAGCCAGTGTCTTTAACACATGAGGATTGCCTGATCGTTGGCCAGACAAAACTCTCTGTTCACATTCATGATGGATATGACACGTGCGATGGCTGTGAGCCAGGATTAGTACAAGCCAAATATGCTGCTGAAATAGAGAGTAAACAACCTGGTAAAATTTGTTTCAATTCTTTCTCACATAACAACCTATCTTATAAATAACATTCCATCATTTTCTCTCTCTCCCATATATATATATATATATATATATATATATCATATTAGTGGTAAATATACACATACATATGCAAAATATATAAATAAATATATATACATAGATGCATACACATACATATATATTTTTTGAATAAAAAATTCCAAGAGGATAGAATCCAGGTAGAACTCAATGTCCAGGAGAGAGTAAGGATATAATAAAAAGGCTTAAACACTAATATTCCATGATCATAATTTATTCCATTGGAATCGTAAATACAATCCAATTCATCAGACCTACAAATTCAAAAAGAAAACAGAAAATATATATATATATATATATGTGTGTGTGTGTGTGTGTGTGTGTGTGTGTACATCAATAAATCTGCAATCTAATGATGAAAAATGGCTTTAATTTTTCAAAAATATTTATTTTTTATCATAATCTTCTTGCATATTGCACTTAATTCAGTGATGAAAATTAATCACAGATTGACATTATATAGTGAAAATTTCAGATCAGAATTTAGCTAATAACTGTGTGTTTATACATGTGTGTATATATATATATAAAGCCAAATATTATTAAAAACAACAGATATTTTGTGTTGATTAATTTTAATGATCAACTTTTAGAAATAATCCTTGCTCATGTCACAACACTCTGTAGTTCACACCATTGTCTCTACCTACCCCCCCCCAATGATAACTAAAGAAAGTCAAAAGCTTACACCATATTTCTTGTACTTTTCTTCCAAAATGAACTTTGGACAACTTCTGACAGAATTTCCTTCTTATCTGAGAAGGATTATTTGTAATTTCAAAATGTCAATCATTAAAATTAATCAATGCAAAATTTTTGTTGTTCTTAAATTTTGCCTTAATAACATTTGCTGCCTAAATACACAGAATATATATATATATATATATATATATACATACACACACATTAGAAAAATTCTGTCAGACCAACTTTAAGCTTGTTAAATAAAGACTGAAAAAAAATTGCGAAGTATTTCAACTAAAATATTTGGATTGGTTTATATCATTTACTTTTAATGTCTAAATTTGAAGTCTTCTTAATAAAGAAAAACAAAATAGTGGAAATTAGTTAATTTTTAATAATAACAATTTCAAATTTAGTTTGCATATAAAATATTTTAAAAATTTCTTTAGTGTTTGAGATCAAAAAATTATATATAGCTTGATCTGAATTTTTAACGGTTTAACCACAAAAGCAAAAATTCATTTGTAACAGACATTATTATTTATCTTAGCCATCAAAAAAGCCTGATGATATCGAAAGTACTCAGGGTAAAATAAAAGTGAATAAATATAAGCACAGTACCTTTCTTGCTGTCTTTAATCATAAAACAAGAAAGCTTATATTTGATTATGAAAGGATTTTATTGAAAATAAATAAATATATATCTAAATTGTTTAATCAGATATGATTAAATGAATATATATATATATATATATATATATATATATATATAAATATATATATATATATATATATATATATATATATATATATATATATAAAAATGTGTTTTGCAGAATATGACAGACAAGGAAAATTTGATTAATTTTTTCATTAAGTTTTTTCAACATTCTTACATTTCTTCATTTGGTGGGAGTGCAAAATTGTCCATTGTCCCAAGGACTTTCAACCACTTTTTCAGCCATTCTCAAGGGTTTTTTTTTTTTTAAGTGTTGTTAATTTCTCTTCTTGTTTTACTATTTATTATGTATTTTTTGTAGTGTTTTGAATACTAGTTAAGGAGTGCTTATTCCAAGCTTCATTGTTGAGTTTGGCTGGAATTCATGTGAACATTTTTCTATTTTTTTAAAAACATTCAACACACCATTTCTACTGTTGAATAAGGTGAGATTTATACTGTGAGTGTGATGTTTTATCTACAGGGCCTCTCTCACAACAAAATGTTTTTGGTAATGTGATTTATATAAAATGTTAGTATTTTTCAACCAGAATTTTCCTTAAGGGTTTGTGTAAAATGTGGGTGACTAAATGCCTTTTTATAGCACTTTGATCAGATAAATGGTACATAAGATGTCTACTCAAGGAGGTGGTGGTATGTCTGATATAGGTAATTGATTTATGACAAGAAGCACAGCCTTGCACTGGGCAGTGCAATTGATACCCTGTATTGGTCATCACTAGTTAAATTTGATAGGGTTACTTTGATTAGTGAGAACAAGGTTTGTGGTTTTCCATTTTCTTTATTATTTACATGTTTTTCGGGATATTTTTTTCAGAAATATGGAGTTTACTTATTCTTCATATAGTGAATTTGTCCTGCTTATAATTATTGCACAACTGGTTGCAGTAAATTATGTTGTTTTATTGTAAGGTATTTTTATTGCTGGTGTCCTGTATTTTTTGTAAGAATAATGTTATTTGTTTATCAATGATGTAGTTTGGAAAGTTGTTGTTGACTAATGTTTGTGACATTGAATGTTTGAACACAGAGATCCTCTGATCCAAGGCAGAAGTGCTGAGAAATGATATTTTGATCCTAGGCAGAACACAGATACTGGGAAGTGGCACTTTGAGTGATCCTGGACAGAACAACCAAAAATGACTCTAGGCAAAAGTGCTGGGAAGTGACACTTTCATCTTAAGCAGAACACACAGATACTCTGTTCCTAGACAGAGCAGAAGTGCTGGGAAATGACAGTTTGATCTTAGGCAGAATACTGATCCAAAGCTGAAGTGCTGGAAAGTAACACATTGATCATAAGCAGGGCACACAGATACTCTGATCCTAGGCAGAAGTGCTCGGAAGTTACACATTTTTTCCTAGGCAGAAGTGTAGAGCTATACATAAATAATTTCATCATTTTTAATGGTTGGTCCATTGGTCAGTTTTACATGTCAGCTCTTGTTTGATTATTTAATATCAAATCAGTTGGAGATCCAATGCAACACTTAACACAATTTACAATGAACTGAGACCAATCTCTCAAGCAAAAGAGATTACAGTTTGCTAGTCACTGCCACCGAGCAGAGAGTCATCTCCAATGACATCCTTCTGGAAGTGTCTTCTCACAAAAATTGGCTTTCCCAGAAACCATAGCTCAGAACTCAGGGTTAGACACAGGAGATCTGGCAACAACAATACAGGACCAAACAGTGTGAAATGGGATTGTCAATGAAGTTCTGACCAATTGTAAGGAATCTCTGGAAGGGTTTTCTTAAATATCAAGTCCTTCCTTAACAGATAGGTCTATGAAGGTCATTGTTAGTGACCAGTCATCAGAAGACCATAAGATCAATGCCAAAATTCATCAGGGTTCTCTCCTCGGCCCTACCCTCTTTCTACTTTATATTAATGATCTGCCTAAGAACATACTCTGATCATTAGTGAAACTCTATGTAGATGATACAACAATTTATAGATACACCTCCAAAAATTTGGATGACCAGAACCTGGTAGCTGATTTCTTCTCTGACCTAACCCTGGCTTGTAAAATTCAATATGTCCAAAACAAACTCAAAATATTCCACCATCAATGAGCAAACTCTGAATTTTCAGCTATCATGATGGTTGTGTGTTCTCTCAATGAGGCTCCTTGCCTGGAACATATGTTTAGACTCAAGCTCATCCCAGACCTCAAGTGGAACTCTTATATATGATTTATTGCTAAAGATGTAGGGAAAATGGTTGGTCATTGCACCACTACAGCAGTAAGTATCTGACTCCCCCTGTTACAAGAGCCAGATCAGACCAAAACTGGAGTATTGCTGCCATATCTAGGCTGGAGCTTCTCAGTCATCATTTGCCTGTCTTGATTGAGTTCAGAAGCAGCTTTGGGGGTAATGAATTATTTTCCACCCTACAACCTCTTTAGCAAAGGCAAAATGTTGCAAGCCTCTTTTTACTCTACTGCTAATTTCATGGCAAGTGTTCTGATGAACTACATTCCTTGGTTCCACCAGTCTTAACCGTTGCAGCTGGGACCCGCCATGTCACACACACAAAGATTAATCATCTACATTCCCTTTGTATTCTATTGGCAAAAAGTAGACTCCACTTGGACAACTTCTTCCCAAGAATTGCTGCTTTGTGGAATAGGCTCTTGACAGGATGTTTTCCACAATCACTACAGGCTTGGCCTCTTAAAGTTTAGGGTTATTATGGAGTGATTTCACAGTGGAGGCTTGTATTTGTACTAAGTCAGTCCTAAAATAGGTTCGACATACAAAACCTTAGGAACTTGATATAATAGGTATAATGCAGAGTAATCTAGTTGTGGTCACTGATGCTTTAGTATTTGACTAACTGTCATCCGACATTGCCTGAGTGACCAATCCCCTGTTACTCTTACTACTCCTACTTATTATAGGTGGGAGAGTCTATTAACTATAGAATAGGTGTGTTCCACTATAACAAGGGTCAACTTTCCTACACACCATCATAAATTCTTACCTTCCCTTAAATTCATACAACACCATACAGTAACCCACTACATTGAGTGGCTCTTGGGCCTTGTACTGAGTGGACATTAGTAAAAAAACATTCCATCATTTTGTAAAAACAAATATATCTCTTTGAAACTCCACTCCAAACAAAACTTTTTCTTAATATTTTTCATTTCGATAGAGATGTTGAAGGTTGTTTTAAATTTTTCATCATCATTGACGTCTAAAAAAATAACTAAAGTTATTTTCTAGATAAGACATCAAGTGTTTAAGTGAAGATCCATTTTCCTTTCCATAATTTTCTGTAGGATCCATTTTCCTGGCTTCATAATTTTTTTAAAGGCTTACAACATGCAACAGTTGACTAATTCCACAAGCAATAAAGAGCTGAGTAAACTTTAAAAATGCTTCTAAGATTTCTTTGACATTGTGTAAACCATGATGCAGAGTACCTTGGGGGGGTGGGGGCATATAATCAAATTTTTATGTTGTGTATTATTTGCTTCCTT